ATTCGTAAAATTCTTTCGTTTGATTGATCAACGAAGCATTTACAGAGTTAACTGAATCGCATTCTTAGTCTACGAAGATTACTTTAGACCTGTTCGTGTTGCTTGAAATTTCTAGAAATTTTACACTTAAAAGTCGGAAGGAGATACTTGTGTGTTGACTGTCGAGGAGTTGCGACGATTTTGTGAGTACTAATTATCAATTAGCTGAAAACTAATTTCTTCGAGAGGGAGATTACAATCTTCGGTTAATTGGTCTTTATGAAGACAATGAGAAATTGCGAAACGTGTCTTTCACATCTCCACGTAACTATGATTTGCGTCTCCCGAAGATAAGAAAATAATCAAACGGTCTTATGTAATAGAATATATAGTCCAAACCTAAGAAATTATTCGCAATAATTATACATCGCCGATTTCGAGTTGTAATAGTGCCGGTATCACTGACATCAATATACTGCATACAACGGTTTCCCTGCAAGTGTTTCTCCGACACCGGTTGTCCTTTCTCAGCGAGGTATAATAAACTGTTGCGTCACCATGACTTAAAGAGACTCCCACCTCACTCGTACTAAATTCAGTTGCAGTTTGCCGTATTCTGCAAAGTTAAATGGCTAATGTTTCTTTGCTTGTAATAAGACGCGCGTGTACAGACAATACCTTGGAGCGCTTGTAGAGAAAACAGCAATTAGACGTAAACGTTCACAGCGGTGCTTGACAGCACTATTTTCAAAGTGCATCGTCAGACGAATCCTTTTCGATCGCATCGGACCGTTGCTCGAATCAATGGTTCTCTTCTCCATCAATATTCTGTATCGTTCGGTCGTGCTGCTCAGGTTCGTCGATCGAATCGACGAAAACGTCGAGACGAGGTGAGAATGGTACAAAGCGCATCGTCACTCGCATCGTTCGCAAGACTACGACTTTAACACGCGGCGAGGAGCGTAGCGCTACCGAGGACCTCACCAAACGTGCCCATCCTAGATACTTGCAAGATGCTAGCTCGGCGACGATGACCGTAAGCCGGCACGTCCCAACGAAACCGAAAACTGTGCGGGTAAGCCGATCTTGCGTGGAAAATTGCATTCTGAACGATTCCATCTTTTATTATTATTGCCATTAATGTATAGATTAACTTCAATCTTAGTTCAACTCACTCTTCATCTTTTTTCAGTTCTAAGAGTTAAAGAAAGGTGAAGAATAAGTTGAACCGAGATTAAAGTTAATCTACGTCGATGGAAACGGACATTACACGGAAAGAATGATGAAGAGGTATTTCAACGATTGAAGTATTTTTAAAATTTAGCTAGATACGGATTTGAAAATGATTTTGTTCGAAATTTAAGCTATCAAAATTGTTTCTGTTAGTGATACTCACATTACTCTCTCAATCTGAATCGGTGGATAATCACTGATGTCAGTGCCAAGTATGTCACTATTCACTAATCACCCAGTGACGTATTTGGCACTGGATAATCAGTGAAGTTCAATTAAAAAAGAAAGAGGTTTAAGCATTATATATCCTAATATATTGATATTTATATGTTAATTTCAATCTTCTAATACTATATTCATTGAATTTATGTACTAAAATAAGATTAATTAGATCACACAATAAAGGTTAGCTAAGTTAGGAATTTCACATTTCACTCACTGATTACCAGTGGCATACTTGGCACTGATATCAGTGATTATCCACTGGTTCAGATTTAGAGAGTAGATTTTGAAAATAGACTTTCGTTGTCTAAAGATTAAACAGCAAAAATTTATATATTTTTGAACGAATTTTATTCAAATAACAAAAAATAGTTCTGCGCAAACTTTATCTTATTTTAATGGGTATCTTATGGCGGTAGTGAAAAGGTAAAAAGTTATGAATTGACAGAAGGGATAATTATATAAAACGTTGAAACTAGTTGCTAGAATATTAAAATTTTTAGCAGCATTTAGCAGCATTGCCATCATCGCTTAAGCGTTCTATACATATAATTGCCTTAACGATCCAACAAAATTATGTTCAAATCTGCATCTAGCTAAATTTTTAAATACTTCAGCAAGACTGTTCTCTTCGTATACCATTAAAGCGCTGTCATATTAAAGAAGATTAATATCGCGACAATTGATAGATCGAGCTATATATCATTGAAGAGTCTCTTCGAAGACTGACAGATACCTAGCGCATATGTTCATGGCTAAAGATAAGCTAAGCATGGTGATAGACATTTCAAGCAGCAGAGAGATTTGCGTTGAAACTCGTGGAAACGTCCGACTTAACTCTCATCCGAAAGAAACGCTCTCTCTCCCATCGCAACGGATGCGTCGCCTTAATTAGGATTAGTGAGTGGATAAGATACGCTCACTTCGGTCTCGTAGTTCCATTACCGTTTTACTTAATCCGCTATTTCGCCCCTGCAATTAACCCGCGAAGGAGACAGTATTTTTCTCATGTCGCGCCCAAGCTGTGGTTCTGTCGTGTTAGTCGGCGGCACGAAGAATGAAACTCTGCGAAAAAAGTGGTTTCTACTTATTTGTCGTTACCGCTTTCGACGTTACTCAATCGTGACGGACGAGATTTGCCAAATGTTCGTAAGACTGGAGCTGCGTCATAAATCGCCGACAATGTTTATTGGACGTATGCTTCGGTACTTTGTCCAATATTTGATAAATCAAATTACATGACGATCAAACGATTTATGCCTGAGTATCCTCCTTGCAACCTGTTGCTGCAAATTGCGTAGGCTGGGAAAACAGATGGCATGGCCGCGGGGTCGGTCCATCCAAATAGCGCATATCTCGTACGCGTGAGTGCGAGAAAACCGCGTGATGACCCGAATACTAATGCCGGCTTTTATCAATGCCAATGGCAACGATCTCAAATGGTCGCGATCTCGACCATTAAGTCTCGGTGCCAATGTCAAGTCCACTGTAAGTGGCGCATAATTTGTCTCTATTATTTCACTACTTGAGCGAGTTTGGTAGCCAGCCAGGCGAATGAAGTGCTTTCATCGTTAAACGTCCAGGAGAGATGAAGTATGAAGTGCCTCATAAATATCGCGGTTATGAGAATTGTTTCTGTATAATCACGCAACTGGAGATCTTTTAAAATTTAACAAAGAAAAATAAGCGAAGAAGGCCATATTTGGATCAAAGCGCGTCTTGATGCATAATAATATTTTTGTATGAATTTATAATTTTTTATTTAAGTAAAAAAAAATACGAATAAGACGTGGCTAAAAATAGGAGAAAAAAGCTCATCGAAATTTGCATCTTGAAATAGAAAAGGTTTGTGTGGTATTATTATTAAAATAATATTTTCTGAATGATTTTATTCATAACAACTGCATCAATAGACAATTTTATGAGCCGATATTTTTACGTATATTAAAATTGACTTTTGGTTCAATGAACTTGACTTAAACGTAAAAGTACGTTAGGTAACAACAGCACGTAATTTCTGATAATTCGAGTGTATGTAAGCCGGAAAATACAGGAAGAAGATCTTTACTGGAGCAATATAATATGTATCTATACATGAGATAAGATAATTCTTTCAGTTGTGACGTGAGAACTCGATTTCTTATCCCAAAATAGACAAGAAGACTTATTTACGTGACGCAGCGTTCCGTGTTTCTAGAATTATTTTGTTAATAATTGAATCATTGAATTACTGAAACAAAATTAGTAGAATACCGCGATAACTAAAGGCTTAAAAAAGAGGATAAGGAATAAAAAAAATTAAAATATAAATGCACTGTCTGATACGAATTTTAGTGATGTGATAGAACAATTTCATTAGGACTGTTCTTTTTGGCTGAACTTTTGCACCCGTTCATCTTTCTTCCTCTTTATTCTTCCTGGAAAGAAAAGGAAGAAAGATGAACCGGTGCAAAAGTTCAACCAAAAAGAACAGGCCTATTTACAGATTCATTTTCAGTAACAAAAAATAAGAATCTTGTTCCGTGTTTCTAGAATTATTTTGTTAATAATTGAATCATTGAATTACTGAAACAAAATTAGTGAATACCGTGATAACTAAAGGCTTAAAAAAGAGGGTAAAGAATAAAAAAAATTAAAATATAAGTGCACTGTCTGATACGAATTTTAGTGATGTGATAGAACAATTTCATTAGGACTGTTCTTTTTGGCTGAACTTTTGCACCCGTTCATTTTTCTTCCTCTTTATTCTTCCTGGAAAGAAAAGGAAGAAAGATGAACCGGTGCAAAAGTTCAACCAAAAAGAGAACAGGCCTATTTACAGATTCATTTTCAGTAACAAAAAATAAGAATCACTTTTTCGTGGTCTAGAAAAAGTTTGAATTTGTCTGACAGTAATATTACTTTATAATCGATATTCGTGTAATTGATAGTCAATTTTTATATTTAAAACTGTTATAAGTAGATACAATCTTAAGCTATAATGAACCAATCAAAGAGCTGTATTAGCATTTTAAGACATTATTTAAGACGATCTTGAAATAAGAATGGACTATGATTACCGGTTTAAAATCGATTAATTCTGTGACCAATGTTCTCCCGGCGCCGGCCGCTAAGCAAAATGTCAATAGTTCTTGAAAGGTTGCAGCTTTCAGTTTCCATCAACGTTCAACCGAGAAAATAGAACTATGGAAGGTTGCAAATACGCATTACATAACGCGCACAATTTTAAGTCAAACCGGTATGTAGTACTGATACGTAGCTTTCAAATGTAGCAGTGTATGTTCATCGAGTGTTACTAATTAAAGGTTTTAAAGACTGCTATTCTTCAAGAATTTTCCGCTTTAGCCTGAATGATCGTAGCGAACATAATACCGTAACTGTTTCCGCTATTTGTTGCAACAGTGGCACCCAAAACGTCATATGAAATGATACATCGAAGGGCGAACCAGAATCTATTTCCATGCCGTATATTTAAAAAAATATTTATTTTATTATTACGTGTTTTAAGAAAATATTGTATATCTTCAAGAAAATCTAATCTCATTCTTTTCTTTTTCTTTTTCTAGATATCGGACATAGTGGTCGGTCAGGAACCAAACGTGCCGCGAGAGCGGCTCGACCGGGTCTTCTTCGTCGCCGAGCGCGAGTACGGCGTTACCAGGCTTCTCGATCCAGAAGGTAACGACCGGTTATCGAGTCAGTTAAGCCCTAATTGTCTCAATAAAAAAAAAATTAGATCGACGAGAGTCAATTAATAGAATAATTATATTTTTGGTCAAAAGAAAAAATTGTTAATTTGCTGTCGACCAACGACTTGTTACCCTCATCGTGATTTGTGTATTGTGTAAATTCGAGGTAGAGAAATACTGGGATGTGTGTTTGTGTCACAAGTTTTTTTTATCGTCGTGTTATCTTGGGCCGCTTTTGCGGTTTCTCATCTTACAAAGACGTCTTTCACGGATATAGTCCTACCTGGATTTCTCTCGTTTATGTATGCCCGGTGCGTGATGTACAGTTCCCGTGGGTTCTGGCATAGTGGCGGTGTGCGTTCTTTCTGGTCACGGTTACCTGACCAGAATCGCTTCCGGTCTCGGTTCGTACACCGTAACGTCGCGCCATCGGTAGTCGTCGTAATTATGCTTTCTATACTTGTGTCTTGCAGGTATCTGACATTGGTATCAGGTTGCAAGGAAAAGCGAAACGTATCTGCGGATAATATGTCCATAATTCGATACGACTTGGATAGATTTTACCGGATTTCTTCAGATGGATAGATAACATCGGAGTTTTAATCTTTCTATCGTTACTTTATTAGCGCTAATAATAAAATTACTCTTGTTTTTAAGATAGTATTAAAAGATGATAAATTTAGAATTTAATTCTTGATTATAGCAGCGAGTCATTTGAAACCGAAGCGAAAATTTTTGAATGATTGTATAATCCGTGATTAGTATTAGAAGGTTCTAAATCGTAGGAAAAAAAACTTTGAATCTTCTTCTATCAATCCGTAAGACTCATTCCGAAGTTTACTTGCATTCTGTACTTTAAACAGCTTTAAAATTTATATGTACTTAATTTTCATAGCTTAGGTATAGTTTTCGTAGCTGTAGTTGAGGAGATTAATAATAATTTTATAAAGAAAATATATATATTATATTAGAAATAATTTATTACACTCGCATACGTTGCGTGACTTACGCAAAGATTCTTTTGTACTCTGTACAGATGTTGATACCCCCGAACCGGACGAGAAGTCCTTGATAACGTACATCTCTTCGCTCTACGACGTGTTCCCGGAGCCGCCGGCCATTCACCCTCTATACGACGCCGAGGCGCAAAGACGATCCGCGGAATATCGTGAGCTTGCGACCTCTCTTCATATGTGGATCCGCGAGAAGATGGCCCTCATGCAAGAACGATCTTTTCCGCCGACTCTGATCGAGATGAAGAAACTAGCGGCGGATAGTACGAAGTTTAAAAATGAGGAGGTACCACCACGATACAGGGACAAACAGAGATTGACGTACATCTTCCGAGACCTGCAAAAGTATTTCGAAGCGGTGGGCGAAGTGGACATGGAACCAGAATTACATATTGATGTCATCGAAAAGAATTGGAATCGCCTAATAATGTTGCATCAGGAGCGCGAGCAGGCTATTATAGACGAAATTAAACGGTAAGCTTAATTATTGTAATATAAATTAAGTATTTATGTATATAAACAGTATGAAACGTACATGTGTTGCACATTTATCTGATAGAGACGTAATACAATTTAAAAAAAATTTTTAAGATAATAGGAAAAATCAACTCTCTGTTCTTTGTTGGAAAAACGCACACAAAACATTTGTAACTCTCCCAATTTGCCGCTAGAGATATTATATGCATAGTCATGTATTTCTGAATGTGTCTTTGTACGTTGACAGACTCGAGCGACTGCAACGACTCGCCGAGAAAGTGCATCGTGAGATGAAAACGACTGACAACAGATTGGAGGAGCTCGAGAGACGTGTGGAGGACGAAGCACGCAGACTCGATCGCCTTCATCCTTTGGAGGCGAAACACGCGGTGGACCTGCTGGAACAGGACATACGCAGCACGGAAACCCAGATACAGAATATATTTACCGATGTGCATACCCTTACGGAGGGTAGATACAGTCAGGCGCCCGAGCTTCATAAGAGGCAAAATATTGATTTTTATCCTCGGAATTATGATGAATTAACATTTCATACTCTGCACCGAGAAAAAAATGTACTAAATTTTAATAAATATTTGTTTGAATAGTACTAACTTAACATTTACTTATGGTAAATAAATATTTATTAAATAAAAAAAAGTAATTAAATCACATACATTGGTTTTTATATCAAAAATAAGTATATGTTTATTTTTAGTAAATATTCATCTAGTACTATCAAAAATAATATTTATAAAAATTTAAAACCTTTTTTTTCAGCATGGAATATCGATATGTAAAGAATCATCCATGTGTAACGTGCATGCCGCCTCCGTTTTCGAATATTAATTACATTGTTTCCACTCTCGTAATCTTTGCTAATGAGTGAAATATTAGCGCGCTTTCCATCGCCAGTAGCTTTCGAAAATTAAGTTATGCACGTATCGTGTTTAGCGACTTTCCAAAGATCTTGGAACATGTTTGAATATCTTATTAAACTTGACAAGATAGCCTTTATCCAAGTTTAGCACATCTTGACATGTCTTTAAAATAACTAAATAGTTAATAATGTTTGTTGGTACAGTATTAAATAATACGCTTTAAGTTTAAATAATTAAATTTAATGTGACATTTATTGATAAAACATATGTCTATTCGTTTCAGAGTACAGAAATTGCATCAAAGATGGGTTGTACTACGATCTCTCCTGCATAGGCGTCTGGTACAACCTCTCTCTGCGGTTTCCTTCCCTGTGGAGGAACGTGTTGTCACGAAACACCGCACTACCGTCCATGAAACACGATTGGTTGATACCAATCCACACTTCCGCACGTTACACGATTGCATAGATTGGTGTAAGAGCAAATTGAAGCATCTACAAGAAGCTGATTACGGATCGGACTTGCCTAGTGTGCAAAATGAATTGGATGTACATCAGCGAGAGCACAAGAACATCGACCAATTCAAAGCCAAGGTCGACAAGTGTGTACAGGCAAAGAACAATTTCCATGGCGAGGAACTCACGTTGTACAGTCAGCATCTTAACACTCTGCAGAAACTTTATGCCGAGCTTCTTAACGTATCGAATAAGAGGCTTTCTGATTTGGATACCCTGCACGATTTTATACAATCGGCTACTGGCGAATTGGTTTGGTTGAACGCCAAAGAGGAAACAGAAGTCACGCGCGATTGGAGCGACAAGAACCTTAATGTGCAGAGCATCGAGCAATATTACGAGGTTAGTCATTATCGAGCAACTCTTTTTTTTTTTTTTAGAAAAGTGATGAAAGTCCATTTTGCGGTTTCTAAGATCTATAAATGATATATAATGTAATCATATCTGCGTTATCTTTACAATATGTAGTACATGGCTCTTATTTAATTGAATGGGATTAATAAATTGGAAATTTCTTCTTTTTGTGAAGCAAACATATGGATCTGGTGTAGAGGTAAAATATTCAATGAAAACATTTATACTTTTCATTCTGATTTAATTTTATTAGATACTCTTATTTCAATCTTTAGTTATTATAAACGTATGTACGTATTTATAGATTTGAAATTTTTAATAAATTTAATATTTTACATAAGCAATAAGATATTTTACTTATTCGCAGTCTTTGATGAGCGATTTGGAGAAACGAGAGATACAATTTTCGGCAGTGCAAGATCGTGGTGAGGCACTTGTTCTTCAGCATCATCCTGCGGCAAAAACGATCGAAGCTTACATGTCCGCTATGCAAACTCAGTGGGCTTGGTTATTACAACTCACTCTCTGCCTTGAAGTACATTTAAGACACGCCGCGCAAAACCAGCAATTTTTCAAAGAAATTCAGCAGGCCGAACAGTGGGTCACCAAACAGGATGAAACGCTGAATACCGTTTACTCGCAATCCGATTTCTCATTGGACGAAGGAGAACGGCTTTTGAAGGGCATGCAAGAGTTGCGCGAGGAGCTTAATAATTATGGTGATCACGTACAGAGACTCGTGGAGAGAGCAAAGGACATTGTTCCTATGAAGCAACGCAAACAACCAGTTATGCGACCGTTACAGGTTACTTGTATCTGTACTTACAAACAAGTCAATGTGAGTATTTCTTAATGCGGAGAAGTAGAATGCACTGCATTTAAATATATATATTTTTCATTTATTTCATTTGTGTAGATGTCCATCGAGAAAGGAGAACAATGCACGCTGTACGATAATTCCGGCAGAGTTAAATGGCGCGTCAAGAACACGCAGGGAGTGGAATCTCCTGTACCAGGTGTCTGCTTCGCGCTGCAACCTCCCGATAAAGAAGCATTGGATGCTGCGGAAAGATTGAGACGACAATATGACAGAAGTGTTGCTCTCTGGCAACGAAAACAATTGAGACTAAGACAAAACATGATATTCGCGACTATCAAGGTAGTCAAGGGTTGGGATCTGCCGCAATTCTTGGCGATGGGACAAGATCAACGTACAGCTATCAGAAAAGCGCTGAATGAAGATGCAGATAAGTTACTATCCGAAGGAGATCCAGCGGATCCACAACTCAGAAGATTGAAACGCGAGATGGCGGATGTTAATCGACTGTTCGACGATTTCGAGAAACGCGCCAGAGCCGAGGAAGAATCGAAAAATGCTGGACGCATTTTCAACGATCAAGCGTCTTCGCTTCAGCAGGCACTCGACGAAGCCGAGCGAGTACTGAACTCGCGCATAGCCGCGCCCTTACCTCGAGATCTTGATAGCTTGGAACATCTCGTATTGCAGCACAAAGATTACGAGCAGCATCTGCAACGCTTTGCACCGGACGTGGAACAAATGCAACAGACGTTCCGCGGAATTACTCTGAAGACTCCGGCGATGAGGAATAAACTCGATAATATCATGAGCAAATGGAGTCACTTGTGGAACCTTAGTAGCTTGTATGTTGAGCGCTTGAAGTGTGTTGAGATTGTGCTGTCCAGCCTTGAAGAAAACACGACGGCAATCTCCGAGTTTGAAATTAAATTGGCCTCCTTCGGCGAATTACCATCGGACGTAAAGGGTTTGCAAAGCGTATTGGAAGACCTGATGGTTCTTCAGAATGCTATCGCACAGCAACAAGTATCAGTAGATCAATTGAATGAAGATGCGCATAACGCCAGACGTCTTGTAGAGAAATCAAGGCCGAATCATCGAGGTCCGCACGGCGACATGGATAGATTAGACGCTGAGGTTAACAAACTAAACGCGCGATGGACAAACGTCTGCGGGCAGTTGGTCGACAGACTACGCAGTGCCGAAACAGCCTACGGATTGGCACAGCAGTATCAAAACTCATATCAGAACGAGGTGGACTTTGTCGATGAATCATATGGAAAATTAGAGCTAGAGAACACGAAGGTAGCGTGAACGATTTCGACAATTTCGTGCTACTCTTGTTAATGAGATCGTTAAAATAAATTTTTATGGATTTAGAACCTGTTGAGCAAGGTGTTGGATCGCACGCCGGCAATCGAAGCGGTGAATCTCACGGGCGGTAGATTGATCCGTGAAGGGAAGGTGAGAACACGTGGATCGTAATGTATAATTCGGTGCTAGTAAGCCTTATAGGTAGCCTTAGCTTACGGTGTGAATGCTTGCATGAATGGAATTCTGCGTGTGTCTTACATACAGGTCTCATCACAATCTGTTGTACGCGCCTCGAGGTTTTCAGAAATTATGCACGCGACGAATCTTTTTTTCATTTAGCGTTTCGTCGGAGCGGCCGCTTTTTCTGGAGTATCGAGCGAGCAGTAGCAAGACGCATCAAGACGCGTTGCATCTGCTGTATATAAACATGAATGTTCCTTTACAGTCAAATTTGTGCTGCTGTCTTTTTCCACCGTCTTCTCGGGGATGTGTCTCGTCAATTTTATAACGGTAAAAATTCTCTATTTGCGTTCGGGCCCAGTGCCATTAAACGGTACAAACCATCTTAACCGCCATTCATTAAATAAATATACTCACTTATGTAACACAGCAGGAACGATACGATCTACAGTCAACGCGCATTTGTAATATCACTGGCCTTTCTCTCCTTTTTAACTTCAATAGTAACCTTCTTGTTAACACAGTTACATCAAAAGCACGGTTGAATGAGCTGCACGACCTCGTTTAGCGGCGATTTAGTATCGATTTTTGTAAATGTTAGATATTGCATATCGCTTAAGTGCTTAACATAATATAATTGATATTTCCCCGAACCGTTACAATCGCAGATAACCCAGTGAGGTATAGCATGCGCAGCAGCGAGGTGGAATCTGACCGATTAATACGTAGGGAAGTTCGCGAAGGTACATAACGAGTACTTCTAATTATATTTCGGCATGAATTAGACATATTCCTGCTCTTTACCAATATTAATTGCAGCGCGATTTCACTAATCGCTGCTTATCCTCAGCGCGACTATGAAATAGTCCCGAAATTATTCCAAACACGTTTAAATTAACGTACTACCCACGAGAGTAACCGGCAGCTACCATTAACGCATCTGTTTACCGGAAATACCACATTGGGTTGTCGAAAAATCAGAAAGATCGCGGCGTGAGCCGCGCGGTAACATCGCGCGCGGCGGTCTCAACGCCTCGTCTCTCGCTGTTGCTTTCGGAATCGCTAACGGTAATTGCCGCACACACACACACCGATCTAATTACACTAACCATAACGGACTAACCGGAAACCCTTAGATCTACGGACAAAGGCTCCGAGCGTTCAAAGAACAATTGGAAGATATCTGCCCGTCGTTGGACGCATCGGTGAAGAGGCCACGGAGAGATTCCGTTATTACAGTCGATAATGTTGCGCGCGATCTAGATACCCTGAACCGAAGGTACACGACCCTTGTGAATCTGCTTGAGGAGCGAGTCAAGCAGCTGGCATTACTACATCCTGAGGACACTTCCTTACAGGTGAGTTTTTGCATTGTTTTTCTTCTGCAATCTTGAGATAGCACCTCTGATAATAGACTGTATGATATGTTTCTGGTAGAAATAAATATGAGCAATATCTTGGATTCTTTAGTAGAAGGAAAATAACAATTCCAGGCTTCTGTTTACTCACCACTACTATCTCAGATTATGACATCATAATCGAGAAAATATACAATAAAAGTTTTTACAAGCTATAATACGTATAATATATATAAATTACATAATATAATGAGGAGATAAATTATGTTTATAGTTGTGACTTAAAATAATGATATATATAGAAACAAATATAATTTAATTTCTTCCCGGAATAAGAAAGTAGTTTTCGTATTTTATAAATCTATGCTATTGATTGTAAATATTGTTTTATTGAAAAATATTTTTATTCGAATATTATTTGTAAGAATTTTTATTGCGTCTTTTCTCACATTTGATGTCACAATCTAGGATAATAATGATGAGTGAATAAGAGTCTTAATACGTCGTTCGATATTTTTTTTTTTAATTTCTATTCGTTACATAGAATAAATTATTTATCGAAGTTGTTCTTCTGGAGAATATACCATAATCCGACATACGTATTATAATTTTTCAATCACTTATTGATCAACTGAGGCAATTTAAGGGCCGCAGGCGAAATGCCGTCGGATATTTTAGATTAGATTTAACCTTCGCCACGTGTGCTATGTCGAAATGTGAACGGAATTAATACCAAACTACGACAAGGCCTACAATTTGCATTGCTGATGGGCATACATCGAGAATTCGCGAAGTGGATCCGCTATTAATCCTTGATCGTAACACTTTGATGTTTGGTGAACGGCTCATCATTGCGCGATAACGAATTAGAACCATTTCTAATCACGCGAAGGTGATTTACTACGTCAAAGTTGCTCGGGATACGAATTCCGCATCGATCGCACACAGTGAGAGAGGACGTTAATTTTCATTTAGTAAAGACGTAATAACGATGTTAACGTTAGATACGACGTATGTTTTCCTATTATACGCGTATGCAAGTAAAACACTTTTTAAATAGAACATAATATAAATGAAATAAATATATTGAAATAAACATTACTCATGAAAGGTATATATACATATATATAAACATCTCATTGAGAGTCATGTGAAATAAATTTATGAGATAAATGTATGAAATATATTTACCTCAAAATAAGATAAATTTGAAATAAATTCGAGATAAATATATGAAATAAATATTGCTCATTTGCCACAACAATAACACAACTCAAAAAATGAAAATAAGTTCGAATATTTTGAATCATTAAAATTTTGTAATATTAATTTTAAAACGCAATTTTGATATAATGATTAATTACAGAAGAATAAAATTATGTTTTTCCTTTTTCCTTTATATTTCCATTCTTTTTCTACAAGAAACTCAAATTGACAATTTCTGAGTTTTGTCGTAATTGACATCCATTTCTATCAATGTAGATCGACTTTAATCTTAGAATTTATTCTTTATCTTTTTCTAATTTTTAAAGCTAGGAGAAAAGATAAAGAACAAGTTAATAATATTAAAAAAAAATATTAATCTACATTGGTAGAAATAAACATGAGCAATATATGTATACATAAGATAAATGAAAGTAAAAGTGCGCTCAGTTTTCAACATGCTCCCCGAAGGTTGCATATGACAAATTCGATTGAAAGGCACGCGTGTGGGCTTTTTGATACGAAACTAGGGAGGCGTATCCTCCGAGAAATGACTCGATCGAGATTCCTCGGCCTCGGCGACCGCGTATGTGACATAAGCTGAAATTAATGAGCGGCGATGAACGAGCGCTCTCATGTCGAGAATCCGTATGTGTGCCCACATCTCCCGCAGGTATAATTATATTCGGAATGACGACGACATCAGAAATAGCGACTATTTTTCTCGGTACCATTACGCGCCTCGCCAGGCGTATGAGCCGGAAGGTGTAAATACATTTTTTTTGTTGGTTTTTTTTTTTTATTGCGACCGGTTCGCGTGCGTTCGTCATCGTTGTCGAGATTGCTCGCTATCACGTTTGTCACGCTGATACCTCGAGGTCGGTCGAGATCAAGCGAAGTAGTCGTTTTAACACGCTACCGACTTTCGCCTTCGATTAACGGCGGCTTTTCATCTTTCCCGCTAGTCGTGTCGGTCTCGTGCGAGGATCGATAGGCACGAAGACAGCGGCACGAAAAAGCAGTGGCGTTTACACCTGTTGAGGCCCCTCAATGTGTTGGACGATTATGTTAATTCAAGCTGAAAAATGAGAACGAATATACACTGAAAAAAATTTCTGGTTGAATATAGACGAATCAGAAATTTCTCTCTCTCTCTGGTTAAATTTATTAGAATTCTAGTTGAGATAACCGGAATTCTGGTTGATACTATATTTCTAGTAAAATCTACTAGAATTCTTATTTTTATCAGAATAATTATATTAATCAGAATTCTAGTTATTACAACTAGAATTCTAATAGACATAACCAGAAAATTCTGATTCGTTCATTTTCTACTAGAATTACTGTTTAATCCAACTATACCATTTTTCTCAGTGTACGTCTGTTAGGCCCGTATCAGACTAGAGATTGAAATTGAGATTGGTTTAGAATAATAAGTAATTAATCACTTTCTTTCAGTATTAAATTGATTAATATTGGATTTCTGTAAAAGCGAAGTTTGCGGATTTTACTTTCACAATTTTGTTCTCGGTGTCTTCTCGTCGCGTTATTTTTACGAATGTCTTGCTTTGATAATTAAAATCCTCAATTTTAATTTGCGATAAAGCAGTTAGAAAACATGATACATTTTACAAATAAATTGCAAATTTCTGCTGTGACGAGCGCCAAGATTGAACGAGAGATAAGACCATCGGTCTTGGGAATATCCTTGATTCTTAACGCATCGTTTATCACCGCGATATAAGCGGTGTATTTACGATTCTGAGGAGCACTCGCGTGTGACCAGAAATATTAAAACGAGCTACGAACGACTCGCGTCAGATAGCAATTGCCGAAAATGCAAAATAGGTTCCTCCTCGAAAGTGAAATGAAGCCGCAGTCGAGATTACGTAATGAAAATTAATGACTGGTCGTTCAGAAGTCCACTCGTTGAATCGAGCGAGGCGGATTTTTGACGACTCGAGAGGAGAGTCCCGGGGTCTTAGAACAGCTTGAAAGAACTGCCAGTTAAGCGCCCACGCTTAAACGCGCCACTGGACCGGGATGTGCGTCGGCGCCACCACTCGCGTCTCCTCCGAGGGCCAGCGTCATCGAAAGAGCGAGAGACGAGTCACCGCAGTCAGAGACCGTCGGTTGCGCGGCTGACCGTATGCTCGTCGAGCATGCTCCTCGCCGGTCGCGCAAACGACTAGAGACGTCGTCGTCGTCGTGAGCGATAGGAACGCGAAAGCGATTTCGTTCCGACGTGCTCCGATGAGCGATCACGATGATCGTGCGAAAGGTACGAAAGGACGGCGCGTATCGCGAAGAGACGGGCGTCGCGTGCTCCGGGAAACGAGATACGCCGGTACCCGTCAGTGAAATCGGATACCGGCGGTTTCAAACGTGTCAGAAGCAAGTGACAAATTGACAGGAGGTTGATTATGAAATTATTTTGTCGCAGCAAGACGTGCGTTCTTGAGGATGACGCCCATGGGGTGTCGATCGAGTCACATGTTGGCAGCAACAATCGTGAAACTGTCCGTCTTGACTTTTGTCCATTTCTACCAATGTAGATTAACTTGTAATCTCGGTTATACGTTTTATCTTTTTCTTATTTTTAAAATTGAATAAAGATACAAAGTTAATTCGAGATTAAAGTTAATCTGAAGAAATGGATATTTATCGCATTCGCGATTTTAATAAGTGGAAACCGCGGAATGAAGTTCTCAAGTCTATTTTGTTATTTGAGTATTATTTAATTATTTGATGGGTTTTTTGTAATCATTGTAAAATTTGGCGAGATCTTGGAGTTGTTAGTTAACATATGCCGAAATGAGTTGAGGTGTAATCATGTGTGCGCGGAATGTTCCTTGCCTTCTGTGGTCCTTAAAGAGGTGACGGATTAGCTGCAGATTCTCTACAAACTTAATTTGTCCAGAACTTGACACGTTTGAAATCATTTGTATTTAATAACATGTTTTATAACTTACACTTTCATAAATGCGTTTTTTTTAATAATGACACGAGAGAGAGAGGGTAATATTATTTTCTAAATTGTGAATAATATAACCTTCTTGTCATTCAAATGTATTCGTATACCAAGAATGATATCAAGATTATTTTTAAGGAACTCTTTGACGAACATTACTTGTCATCCTTTACGATACTCTGAGTACATCTGGCGATATTTTTCACCATCCTATTTCCGTTAAAAATAATCGAAAGCCACTTGCTTAATTCAAGTATTCGAACGTGCATTTGAATAAATGAATATCTCGTGACCGATGTTTATTATGACCACTAATATCTACTACTTTATTGCTGACATTCAAATTCATGAACTCACATATGCTACTTTATTGCCGACTTCTATATTCGAGCTCGGATTTCAATGCGTAATGCAAATATACGCTTATTTAGTGAAATGAATCACCAGAGAGTTACAAATTTTTATATTACCTCGCGGTATATATTACAGATTGAATACTAAGTGATTCGTTTTCTTACCTCGAAATTAAATCAGAACAGAAATATTTGACAATATTAAATAAAATACCTTTAAATATATATTTAAAATTAATTTTTATGCGTGTATATATATTTTATGCGTATTAATTCTTACATATACAGAATACAATGTTCGTCATCGTTCGACTCGGTTGTTTCTGATTATATGCTCTTATCGGTTCACCGTTGTATAACGCGATTGATTAGGTACACCGCGTTCGGACAAAGTAAACACCGTGCACACATCATATTTCTTATCGATAGCGCAATTTTATTGGAAATCGAGTTTTATAATCAGAAATGTCTACACGAATTAAATATACGTTTGGATTGCGTACGTTTACACCGCCTTATACTGCATTGTCATTTTTTTCGGAGTAGCTTGCGTCTTTAAACTCACCGTACCGACGTGCCTAATAGTGGATTCTTATTTTAACGCGTGTACAGAGTGACCCAGAAACAGTTCGATATATTTAAGAGAGTGCGAGAGAAAAGAGAGGGGGGGGAGAGAGAGAGAGAGAGAGAGAGAGAGATCTTCTAGATTGGAATTTATTTCCGTGTGTAACATTTTCGTGGATCTTTTACTCTTGATAGTTCGTTTTAAAATACTTTAGACTCCATCAATGTAAAATTAACTTTAATCTTAATTTAATTTATTATTTATCTTTTTCCAATTCTTAGAATTAAAAAAAGATGAATCGAATCAAGATTATAAAATTAAACCACATTGATAGAACCCTTTAATCTTCAGTTATTTAAAATTCGAAGATTATACTGACACTTTGAAAATAAAACAACCGTCATCTTTTATTTGAATTCCATTTATCGCAACAACGTAAATGCTTTTAAATGATTCTACATGAAGAACTACATGCGTGCATCACGTCGACAAAATTGCCTGACAATAAAACGCAACACTCGAAATATACCGTGTTTATATTATCTAGCCAAGTTGAATGACTTTTTTCTTTTTAGATTAATTTTAAGATATATAAACCGCGCGATGACGAAAGCAAGTAAATTAATTTTTCATCAATATAGCCGTGCAACTAGCATTGATCGATTGCCCGAAGGTTGTCGATCACACCAATCAAATATAATTCTTCTGATTAGATTTACGATGCAAGTAAATTCGTTACGGGCTGTTTCATGATCATTCTTAATGTTTCTTATGTTCTTCGTTAATTTTATTTTTATTGGTATGAATTTCTTCATCCGTACAGCATAAATTAATGCTGTTAGCGTCATCAAAGAGATGAAGATGTTTGTCGATGAGTCCGGAAGATACTCGAATAAATTGTAGTAAATCACAATTTTTTACTTAAGCAATTCTGAGACACTAATTTAACTTCCTTTAATTTATCCGCACAGCAATAATTACGTCTTAAAATTCTTTCCAGATTTATAGCCAATTCATTTTTTATCAAATATCTATGCAGCTATTTACATCCTGTTTTCGATATTAGACGTAGCTGCTTAATTATTATCATATGCTTGCAATAAGATTCGTTGATTATGTATATACATATTAATAAAAATTTTGCATAATGTTCGCGTAACTGAATTATGTTCCGAGATTTCAAGGCTCCCGGTTTTATTCTTTGTTTCACATCAGATCGCACGTGTTCTCCCATGTCTTCTTGAGTTCACGAGTTGACGATGGGAAGGACAGCATCTGTCTTCGCGATGACACAAGTAGATAACATAGACCTACGCCTATGACTATGAAGCAAGCATCGCGTCTGAAATTATACATTTTGGTACTTATGATTAAGTCTCTCATTCGGAATTAGGTAATTAAAGGCAAGACGTGCGTCGCGTCGGATAAAATTTTGCGTAAGAGCGATACGTTCGGCGCGTGCGTGAGCAATGCTATATTTAAGAATCCCCGTCTCGGCTGAAAGATCACGGCGAGGCACGTGGTCCAATTATACGCTGGCCGCATGTAAACTTGTGCATCGTCGCGCAGGCTGACTCATTTAAATGCATGCGGGACGTCTGTTGATGATTACAGCGTGGCTGACGCGATTGTTAATCGGCTTTAGGAATCGAAGATCGACAAGTTGACCCAGTTGTTCCCAGTATCTTTAGAAGGACGGCGTCTTACATTTTACATAAATAGCTTTCGCGAGAGAGAGAATAGATTTAATTAATCCAAGAATTAAATTTTATTTTAATGAAAGCTAGAGATTTAAAATAGGTAATTTTACATTGAAAGTTATTTTTTAATCATGTTTTTAGCAGAGAGAAAACTGAGACTGCACTCGTTAAAATCCATGAATTTTGAACATTATGTTCATCAATGTAGAAACAAATATAAACACAAACATAAAACACAAGATTAGACATATTGTATTTTCTGCAAGTCGCAAAATGTTTACTTTCAGCGTGTTCTTCAAGAACAAAGGCCGCTGCGGACGTTCCGCACAGAGTTCAACATATATGAAAGCACTACTAGCGAGGAGCGTTACACATCCACAACCACACACTACACCCAGTCACAGTGAGTATGACTTGTGCTAAAAGTTGAAAGTATGGCCTATTCGTACTCACAGTAGAAAAGTGCCCTCATCCGCTACATAGAATTCCACGATAGGAGCTTATTCTCCAATTATTTTAGATCGATAGTTAAGAAATGGATTTAATCTTTCTTACGGGATTGAAGTGCGTTTCGATATAACGTTCACGCTTCTCAATGGCTCTTGCCGCAGATATACCTCCGAGAGGCATGAGTCCACCGAGACGACTTTCTCGAGCGAGACTTCGAAGAGAAGTTACAATGCGGAGCAGGCCGTGTATCGTCCTAATGACGAGACCACCAGCCTGGGTGCGGTTCAACCCGACGGCGTCGGTGGTACCCTGCTCAAACGCTCGCACGAGAGCGGTACGACGAACTATGACAGGCGACAGCAGCAGCACGAGTTTTCGTCCGTCGTGGACGGCGGGTTTAGTAGCGAGCTTAGAGGGGTCGACGATAGGGGTAATATTATCGAATCGGTTCACGTGATGGACGTTAAGTGTATCATAGATCAGAGCACCGGCAAAGTCCTTAGCGTGCGCGAGGCGATTCGGCTCAAGATCCTCGACGTTAGGAACCTTAGGATAGTGACATCGAGCGATGGCAGGACGAGCGTGTCGATCCAGGAGGCCGCGCGTGACGGTATCATCAACGCGGAGATGGCCGATTGGCTGTTAACTCCAAACGGTCGGGTGTCTATGCTCGCGGCAATGAGTGAGGAATTCAACGACGACCGGGCCGACATCGCGGATCGAGTTAAGGTAACGACAGCACGTCGTGATGATGGTGGCGGGAGTAATGCCGCCACCACGGGATTTAGCGTTGTCGATGCGATGAGAAAGGGCTTATTGGACCCGGCCACGGGAGAGGTCATCGCCGAGAATGGCGAGCGGATTTCGATTGAGGAGGCATACTCACGCGGCTATCTTACTAAGGTGGACGTGACCGTTAGGGTAACCCGTAGTGCCATCGCACTCTCCGACGCAATATCGCAGAGTCTTGTGGACGATCGGACCGGCCGCATCGTCGATAGGATTACCGGCGAGTCTTATCCATTGGACGAAGCCGTTGACAAAAACATTATTGATGCGAATGTGAAAGAGATTGTGGATACAAGGAGCGACAGCAAGATGACGGTGGCTGAGGCTATGAAACACGGTATATTGAATGCCAAAAGCGGTAGATATATGCACGGCTTGTCGATGGAGAAGCTGCCGTTTAAGGAAGCTCGTCGTCGGCAATTGATCGTCAAGCCGATGACGCTCAAGGACTGTTGCGATCTAGAAATTATCGATGACAAAGGCAAAATCGCCAGTCCAGCACATCGTGGCAAATTAACGATATTGGAGGCTATATCACGCGGAGTCTTAGACTCGGAGAACATCAAGTCCATAGTAGATACTCGAACCAGCGAAATGATTACGCTAGCCGATGCCTTAACCAGCGGTATAATTAAAGTCGACGGCACGTATCGCGACATGTTGAAGGATGAAAAGTTCCCTATTCCTCAAGCCGTCGAGAAAGGCCTGATCACGTCGGTGACTCAGAAAAGTATCTTCGACATCGATGGCTTTAAAGATCCAGTTTCCGGCGAATACATTAGTTTGAATGCGGCATTATTGAAAGGTCTGATCAGCTCAAAGTCCGGCGGTACTTTCACGATCGACCTGAAAACCGGAAAGACCGTTTCGCTGAGCGAAGCAGAAGAACAGGGTTATATTAGGCCGGAAGTACTGGAGATGCTAAGCCGTGGCATCGGCATTACCGAGAACGGGCGCGAGACAAGCGTACTCGAGGCTGTGCTGCTCGGATTGTTAGATCCTAAGTCTGGTCAATTGTTGGATCCGCGTAGCAAAAGAATAGTGCCTTTGGAGGAGGCGATCAAACGAGGACTCATTACTCCCGACGGTGCTGCACTGCTCACCAGTTTATTGAATATCGCAGTCACCACGCAAACTGTGACGAAGACTATCAGAAAATACGTGACGACTCTGCAAACGGGTGAAACTGTTACAAGAGATTACAAAATTAGTTATGAAGAAGCATTAAGCAGCGGTTTGATCGACGAAGGTAAAAATGAATTTAGGGATCCTGATTCGGGAGTGACGATGTCCATCAAAGATGCCTTTGAGCAAAGTTTGCTCGGTGATGACGTTCGCCAACATGAACATTCTCAGGAACGTACTTCGGATTCGCTACATACAACTTTCGAAAGTACTTTGATGACAAATATCGATGAAATACCTAGAAGTAGAAGAAGTGAATCACCACCTAGAGCAATTGGCACGGTTACCACTATTATTACCAAAGAAATTGCTCCGCGAGCATCGTCTACACCGATGAAAGAGTCATCCTCAGTTACGTTGACGATCGCACCATTAGCGACGACTGATTCTGTTTCTTTCACGCGAGATTCAACTAAAGATATCTCATCATCGACAAAAGTTAGCGACTCGACCAAATGGTCGATTTCCGAAATAACATCGAAAACGAGTTCGTTCGATCAAACTCATGTAGTAAGTCATGATCCCAAATCACCTTTGCGTGATGAAAAACAAGATATGGAAGTAATCACATCAGTTACACCAACTACGAATCGCACATCAGAGATCACGAAATTCATAAAAAACGAACGTCTTTTCACGAATAAACAGGTGTTCGAATTACCAACGGATGGTTGGGCACTCGCTGAAGCTATCGATAAGAAACTACTTGATCCTGTTACAGGTCTTTTCATAATTCCAGGCACCGACAGATTGGTTTCTTTCGAAGAGTGTATTAACTTGCAGATCATCAATCCGAGTTCTGGTTTTGTTATTGATCCCTCCAACGGAAGAAAGGTGTCATTGGTGCGAAGCTTAGAAAAGAATATTCTGGACTCTACGGGTCACTACTGTTATCCACAAAAAATCTCGATGAGAGAAGCGGTTGCGAATGGATTAATCATATTGGAAGGCGAATCGAGCATAGACAGCGATAATACTAATCAGAGGCTTCTTCAGATCACAAGAGTTTCAGGTGAGCCCGATAAAGTAGAGTTGACGCGTGTTGGCGATCCTTCTCAGCAAATGGAAATAAAAATTAGCGACGAAATGTCTATGCCGGATCCGGTGCAGGTAACTCAGGGAGTGATTTATGATCCAGGAACGGCCTTAGTAATCTCCACAAAAACTGGAAAATCTGCGAATCTCTTAGCCGCAGTTTCCGAAGGAACGATACCGTCTACTGCTGTAATTGTCAAAGATCCAACGACAGGTAAAGACATTGGCATGGCGGAAGCTGTTAACCGCGGTATTCTGAATACTAATACATGCGAATATAAAATCGATGATGGCAGAAAGATATCATTGATCGATGCGGCAAAGTTTGGAGTGGTGGCTGTTCTTGGTGCTCCCCTTGCGGCCACCGCAGCCGCCATAGAAGCGGTACAAAGGACGATGGTCAAAGATCCAATAACTGGTAAGAAAGTGCCAAGAGAAGTCGCCATTGAACGTGGCATCATTCCAATGGACGATAACGCAACTTCACCAATTATTGAATCTGTGAGTGGTACGTCTGATGAAAATGAAAAAGTTATTGTGAAACATGTATACGATGAACCTGGAAAAGTTCATGTATCGAAAGAGGACGTTACAAATATAACTTTGATTGATTTGTCGAAATCCGCCAATGACGTTACGGATGGCGAGAGTTTAGGCACGAAGACCAGAGCGCGAGTGACGGTCGAGCCGAGGTATCAAGTTACGATTGGTAAAGCGAAAACACTATCACAAAGTCCGGAACAAGAAGCGAAACCTATCGTTCTGCAGAAGATGCGAAAGAGGATAGTAAACGTCAAGGAGGCGTTGCAAAGTGGTTTCATCGACATGGAAACAGCAGATACCTTCGCTAAGAAAATGTGTAATGAGAAAGGGGATCCGATCACTCTTTCTGAAGCAATCCGTGACAATCGAATAGACGCCAATCAAGGTCAGATCGTGGATCCACAAAGGGGCGATGTGCTTAGTATCAAGCAGGCTATTGATCGTGGAATCCTTGATTCAGAGAGCGCGCATATATTAGTACCTTTGGCGAAAAGCTTGTCCGTTTCCAGTTTGTATACGCAAGGTTTGCTAGATCCTGTAGAGGGTAAAATCGTTCATCCAGAAACAGGCGTGCATCTCACTCTCAACGAGGCTATAGTATGCGAGATAGTAGATCCTCTATCTAACTTGATGTTCACTGTTGATGGCCATACGGAAACGTTGCAGTCCGCCATTGCGAACGATACTGTCGATGCAGAGAGATTGTTGGTCAAAACGCAGAGCGGTAGCGTAGATCTGGTGAATGCGATAGAGAACAAAGTACTTGAGTTAAAGGGACCGACTAAATCTTCCAACATACCGCCGGCGGGAATGACGTTCCCCGTTGCATTAAAACGTGGATTGATAGACATCAGCAAGAAAGAAATACGTCACCCAATTACCGGAGAGCATTTACCACTGGAGGACGCTATAAAGACAGATTTTATCATGGCATTACCATATCCAGTGACTCCTGATAGTATCGAAATAACGAAGGCTTTAGAATCAGGATTGATTGACAGGGACAAGGCTACATTCTTTCATCCTACTACGAGAACTCCGATTCCAATTGCCGAAGCTGTCGAGTCTGGTCTACTCATCATCAAATCGCCTCGTGATGAAAACACAGCTGCCATTACTGAAACAGTTACATCGTACCACACTATTACGACCAAGACTGTTGAGCTTTTGCCAGGTTATGCGCTGAAGAACCCAACGGAAGTACAAGATATTAATACCAATAATGTCATTACTATTGAAGAGGCACGACAAAGAGGTATCATTAAGGATGTATCTGAAACTAAACAGGAATTCACGACGAAAGATATCAAGATGTCCTTTAATCACGCAGTGGAAAAAGGATTCGTAGATATGGAAAAGGGAATTTATACTGATCCTTGCACCGGTATCATAATGCCTATTGCTAAAGCCGTTGAGGAAGGAATCCTCGATACTTCATCTAGTAAGAGTAAATCCGTAACACCCAGAAAATCTCCCAATAACAGTTTGACTGTGTTAGAAGCGGTCGAGCAAATTTACGATGAAAAAACTGAGACATTTAAAGATCCCGAGACGAACGAATCTTACAATTTGACAGAAGCAATGAAAGTGGGGCTAATCGAATCCGACTCCGTACTTTATAATGTGAAAACTAAAGAATCTATCACTACCAAAGAGGCACTCGAGAAAGGTTTGCTCGATCCTGCCACTGGAAAAATGAAGATTGCGCGAGATCAGAAGGATCATTCGATTAGCATAGCGGAAGCTGCGAAAATGGGTCTCTTGGCAGTCGTAGCCGCACCAGTCTTGGCTGGAAAAGCAGTTGTTGATGCAATTTCAAGTCACAAATCTAAAGAGTCGAAGCCGAGTGCATCCGTGACAAAAGTATCTGTTTCAGCGAAGAAAGAATCAAGTCCATCTGCAAAAATGATTTCAAGTCAAATTCAAATTACCCAGAAATCTCATGTTGATTCTCAAAGTGAAGATAAAATGTTGAGCTTGATGGAAACGCAGAAACCATTTTCAGATGCAAGAATTATAGAAGAGATCCAAACTACAGAGATAGAAATGGAAGACGATAGCCAATTGAGAAGAATCACGGACGAAGAAATGCCAAGACCCATTTCAATAATCATTACGAGAGAATTAACGCCTCAGGTTCTTGCGGAACTTGGAGTATTTGATCCTGTAAGAGAAAAATTCTTGGATCCGGAAACTGGTACCATCTCTTCCTTCAACGATCTAGTATTGAACCTAAAAGTCTTCGATCCAGACCGAGTACTCGTCAAGGATCTATCATCCAAGACGGATTTGTACGTGAAACTACGCGAGGCAATCAGCCGACCTCTCGTAGACAGAAACGTCGCTTACATGGTCGATCCAAAGACCGGTAAAAAGATACCTTTCTTCGAGGCGGTACGCTTGGGATGGATCAAGGAGGAATCGGAAGACGAAACAGATACAGAACAGTTTGCAGAACCGCAGGCTTTAGACTTGCAAGAAGCTATCGATATTGGCGTGTGCAATCCCATCACAGGAACAATTCAAGATCCAAAAACGGGACAAGTGTTGTCCATGAACGAAGCTATTGATACAGGACTCATCGACGTTGATGTGCTTGGCGTGAGAAATCCAATTACTGATGAAATCGTACCGTTTTCTGAAGCGTTGGAGACCGGCATTGTAGATCTTCACAAGGACATTGTCATGAATACAGAAATAAGAACGGAAATCAATATTGCGACTGCGTTTTTACGAGGTCTAATTGTACCCATTTCTCGCAAACCGATCTCGTTAGAAGCTATTATTAGGCAAGGTCATTACGATACTGAGACAGGAAAAATACAAGATCCTCTGACTAAACAATTGATTGACGTTGAGGAAGGTGTTCGTAGAAGTGTTGTTGATGCTTTTATCACCGAGGTTGAGGATACAAAAGCCGGTTCATCCGTCTCGTTGGATGATGCGCTGACTATGAATTTGTTGATTCCCAGTACAGGTCGCTTGCGCGATACGAAAGCGGGAGAGCTTCTGCCTTTGGACGTAGCGCTTCATAAACGTTTAATTATCACAACACCATTCGTGCCTTCGCTGATTGACGCTATTGTTCAGCAATACTATTCACCGAAAACCGGCCTCGTTCTGAATCCAATGACGGGTGAAGATATAACGCTGAAGGAGGCATTAGCCATTGGTTATGTTAATGGCTCTACTACAGTAGTAAAAGACGATAGAAAAGATAACGTTATTTCTCTCAATGAAGCAGAGGAAAATAAGCTAATAGATTTAGTAAGAGGAACATTGACTTATCCGCATTCTATGACATTGGACGTCGCCTTTGAAAAAGGATACATTTTGAGTACCGTAAAACCATGGACGCTACAAGAAGCTTTAGCTCTTCAAATTTATGATCCAAAGTTAGGCACTTTTAATATTGATGGTAGTAATTGTACTTTGGAGGAAGCGATGGAGAAAGGCTTTATTAGCAAAGACAGTCCATCGATTAAAGATCCGAGAAACAACGATATTATATCTCTGGGCGACGCTATTAAACATGGCTTTATCAACGCGAAGACCAGTACGGCAGTGGATCCATGTACCAGTGCGCCTCTTTCGTTAACTGATGCTTTAGATCGCGGCTTTATAGTGCCAGCGAAACGTAAGATATCCCTACCCGACGCCGTCTTCAAAGGTTTATACGATCCCAAGACCGGACAATTCACAATACCTGACACGCAAGAGAAGCTTCCTACTGATCGCGCGATTAAGATGGGTGTGATAGATGCAACTACCGCGATCGTACGAGATCCCAACGGCGACGTGATGACATTCAATAAGGCTATTAAGACCTCCATAGTTGATCCCAAATCCGGAACAGTTAGTCATGCCAGAGGACCGCCTGTAGATTTCCAGGAAGCGCTGGAACGTGGTTTGCTCCTTGAAACAAGGAGACCTATGAGCTTCAGTGAGGCAATTTCAAAGGGCATCCTCGATGAGAGGACCAACAAATTTTTAGATCCGCAGACAGGAATTTACCTAACAATATTGGAAGCTATTCAAAAGAATCTAATAGACGCTGACTCGGTTACCGTCAAAGATACGAGGTCCAGCATCTGGAAAACGATGACACTAATGGAAGCTATACAATCTGACTACATGGACGGCATTACTGGCTACCTAAAAGATCCCAACAAGGGTAACAGGAACGTATCTCTGAGGGACGCCTTTGAATCTGGTCTGATTGTTGACAATAGAGCAGCCGTGTCTTTACAGCGTGCTATCCATCAAGGATTGTACGATGATAACACAGGCAAGATCACTGATCCCAGTACAGGTAGAGCCGTGACGTTGCATGAAGCGATGAGAAAATGTGTAATTAGCCCCACGTTACCGTGTTATTGGGACAAGCGTGGAGAACGTTTGTTATCGTTGGCGGAAACATGTCGTGCTGGCGTAATTGACAGGCGCACCGGCATGTTCAAAGAACCCGGCACCAGTGGTTCAGTTTCATTATCGGTCGCGTTACAACTCGGTCTTATTGTCGATATAGAGAGCATGGGATTTGGCCTATATGAGGCGATATTAATGAATATGTACGATGTTTCGTCAGGCAAATTTATACATCCAACCAGCAACCGCAAGCTGACGTTAGCTGAGTCATGCCAAGTGGATCTAATAAATCCCTTGACATCGATTATCAAGTGCACCAGGTCTAATAAATACATCCCACTGGCCGAAGCAATCTCCTCAGGCATCGTCGATGACATTCGTGGCATGTATGTCATCCGCGAGCTTGATAAAGTAATTAATCTCCAAGATGCAGCGAAGAAGGGCTTCATCGTCACATCAAAGACGCCTCTTTCGATCGAGGAGACAATCAAGTGCCACCTTTACCGTAGCGATAGTGGTAAATTTGCTAATCCTGTTGTTAACGAATATCATGACCTGCTTCAAGCGATTAACTGCGGTCTCGTAGATCCTGATACTACCGCCTTAAAGGATGCGACGACCGGACAGATCAAGTCGCTATTAATGGGCATCGAAGACGGGACGGTCGATGTGTCTCGAGGAAGAATATTGGATCCTAAGACGACACGCGCTTTTAATATCGATGTAGCTTTAGAAAGAGGTCTGTTGGTCACAATCGACAAACCTCTAGCGCAACAAATAGCACATAGATCACCCTTAGAAGCCTCTAAAGCCGGACTTGGCGATAAAAATGTCAAAGAATGCACTTTAGAAGAAGCGATTAACTATCAACTGATTGATCCGAATATGTCAGTTGTAAGAGACCCTAGAACTGGTCGATTTGTGACGACAGCAAGAGCGATTGCGGACGGTGTCGTAGATCCTTCCGTCAGAGGCACGATTGAACTGAACGGCGGAAGCAAAAGGGAACCGCGTTTCGTGCGTTTCGGTGATGTCACCGTATTCATTAGGGAACCTTTCACTTTTGAGGAGGCAATGGAGAAAGAGTATCTGTCGCTAGAATCGGGCAAATTCACGGATCCGATCTCGAACGAACAATTGACTCTAAAAGAGGCGGTCGGTCTCGGTATCGTAGACTCGGACTCGGCGTTGATTAAAGACTCGCAGAAGAAGAAACTGGTAAAATTGCCGGAGGCGTTCCGTAAGGGCATGATGGACGCTGAGAAGGGCAATGTGCTGGACACTGCTACGTCCAAGTTGTACAGTTTGCCCAAGGCTCTGGAAGCCAGCCTGTTGATCACCCCGAGGAACGGCGTTTCGTTCATCGAAGCGCTGCAGTTCAATCTTTACAATCCTACCACGGGCAGCTTTTATGACCCCTTCGTTGTCACTTCCGTGTTAGATCGTAGGCGCCTCACGCTGGCGGATGCAATCGAGTCGGGCCTAATCGATCCGTCCACCACCGTGATTAAAGATCCGTTCACGGGTAATATCGCGAGTCTGTTAGAAGCAATGAGTAGCGGGAAGGTAGATTCCATAGGAGGCAGATTAGTCGAGGACACTGATGGCAAGAGTATCGACTTCATGAAGGCCTTGGAGCGGGGTTATATACTCGCCGCTGAAGCCAGGGTAAGTAGGACCAACCAGAATGCCTTTTACGTATCCCTGCAATTCCTGCACCAATTGATTCTTCTTTGTTCTCCGTTCGTTTTATTTTTTTTTTCTTGCTGTTTGGGTTTCCAATTTTTCTCACATCCGAGTTTACGTTTGCTATTGTTTCCACTCACAATTCTCTTAACAGCTTCTTCGAGAATTGGATGTGATTATCATTACGCTGTCACACGAATCAACATTACGTTTTTATTGTCGTGCGATTCTTTCTCTGTCACATCTTGCCTTGCCTAACCTGACGTGAAGTTTTATATCATTATCATTCGCGAAGAGAGCCGCTTGCTGGTATGATGGTCCCGCACGGGACCTCTAAGACTTTGTTTTTCATTCGCATTCGCATGACATTTTTATTACATATCGATCGAAAATTGAGAAGAATAATACGCGTAATGTGCATGGGCATAAATTAAAATTATTCTCACTCTGGTCTTATCTCTTTCTCCCTCTACTTCATAGAGGAATCATCCCCGTGCTTCCTTTTATCGGAATGCTCACATCAAACGGTGTATCTCAGACTTTCATCATGTAATACACCATACTTACCTTCGTGCTTACCTTCTTTCATTACCTTAATGGGTTCAGTAAAGGTCGGCCATCATCACGAACGACACTAATTGGACACTACGTACGTTTCCTTGAGCTCATCGTTTACAATTGGCGATCTACAAACCATCGGACAGTATTGAACATCGTATCATAAACAATCTCCTCCACCACGCAGAATATCATTAATCCTAAGCCAAGTTTTGTCGCATCAACAACGCTAATCCCTTTTTAATCAATTAAGTAACATTAATCTATAATTTTATCGTTAATCTTTAATTTTATCATTAAGCTAATAATTTTAACTCATTTATCTTATTTTTTGCAATAAAATTTCCATTGTTTTATGTGCAGCGCAATTCGAAAGTTCATATAATTTATTTTAAAAACGTCAATGAAAATATTTCGCGATCGTCTGATTCAATCATGGGATGATAATGGACTTTTTTTAATTGGAAAAAAAATATATCATTCGCTGAAAATACTAATGTGTATGGCATGCATGTATGAAATAAAAAATTGGCATTTTTTATTCAAAATTAACGTTTACCCAAGAAGAAGAAGGATTTAGCTGAAAGGACATGCAACCATAATCATGTTGCTCTTTACCTTTCATTATTCTTCATAAAGCATTGGTTTAATCGGGATGTAAGACGATTGTGGCAAATAAATTAAAGGCATTGGTGAATAATAAAAAATAAAATTTAATAATAGTCAATTATCTTTGTAATATGTAAAAGAAATAACAGAATTGCATTAAGAGATATAAGACAATTATGATTGATTGATATTTGTTGCCTATATCATTTTTAACGTAATGTTAAGTAATGTGAAACGCTTGACGGTAATCAAGATCAACGTAATAATTGTAAGCACCGCATTAGCACTTCCTAATATATTATTCCACGATTAAAAGATTTTTTTATAATAAATAATGTAAAAAATAAGTTCTTGGATTCTCCTTAGTTGGTTTTATTTACCGATCTTTAAAAAATTTATACGATTAACACATTATGATGAAATTAACAATTGTATATCTTGACTTAATTTTATCAATTTACTTGTTAATATACGTTTAATATCCAACTAGTTTTTAATACCTGTCTACTCAGAGTTATGATAATTATTATATTTAAATGTTTTCCTTTTTTTCAGGTATGATTATGTTTACTTATCACGAACCTATGTTTTCGCTAGCATGAGTTAGCGGAAATTTCTCCACATTGTACATTACTGTATCATACGCATTATTATATGCAGTACATCATCACACGATCGTTACTCCGTCATTGTGCGTTTTAATTTATTTGCTTGTTGGAACGTGTTTTATTACGCAATTACGTTCTCTTCATACTGTTATCGTTTATGCTTTAAACTGCATATAAAAAAATCTGATACGAGAAATATGCAGTTCTTGCAGATAAATTAAAGCTATCATTTAATACTGTATTTTACCTGTACGTTAAAAGTGTGCCTGTGTTTGCATGCGTGAAATATGTCGTAAGCTTACCTACATTTCTTTAATCTTTAATTAATACGATGCTTGTATCGTTATTGGTAAGATAACGATATTCTTATGATTTACTTTATTTTTTTTTCTAGCACATTAAATGTAGCGAAATAAATACACTAATAGATAGAAATGAATTGTTTTTTTCCAACTTCAGCAAGCGGTGGAGGAGAAGTACAAGCTCTGCGACGAAACACTATCTAAGCTTCTACAATGGGTCTCCGAAGTTGAGAACAGACTGGCGAATCAAGATACCGTCAAGGAAGACGTAGAGGAATTGAGAAAACAGATAATTATCATGAAAGTAAGCAGTAGAACTCATATAATTATAATTTGTGTTAATCGAGCAATTTATCTAAATATGTTTATTTTATAGAATTAAATAATTACGTACGAAATGTGTTACTTGCAGGAAATAAAGGAGGATCTTGAATCGCACAGTCGACCCGTATCATCCTGCCTAGATCAAATTCGACAAGTCGTCTTGACTGGCAGCAACGTGTTATCTAGCGATGAAGTGTCCACATTAGAGAAGAATGGTCGATCTTTAAAAACTCGATTCGACAAAGCATTAGATCGTACTGACAAATTAGTGAAACGTCTTATTGGTGCGAGAGATGAACTGACAAAGTTCAAGTCAGTATCTTTCATGTAATTACAGTATAATTTAGTGTCTTCTGAATTTAATCGATTTGTTTCATATAGGAATGAGCTGATGACGTTCTCGATTTGGTTGGACAAAGCCAGAAGCGTGCTCGAGGATAAGGAGCGTTCCTTGTCCGATCTGAACAAACTCAGTACCAGCACAGATACAACTCGCGATTTCATCAGTGATGTTATTGCTCATCAAGCAGATTTGAGATTTATTACAATGGCTGCACAGAAATTCGTTGATGAGAGTAAAGAGTATCTCCAAGTTCTTAATGACTTCAGGACCAGCTTGCCACAAAGATTGCCACATAAAGAGCCCACAGCTAGCCAAGATTCACCGGTACGAGCCGAAGTATCCAATGCAACTGCTCGATACAAAGATCTATTATCTCGAGCGAATCTCCTGTCAGACAGATTGTCGGGAGTTGGCGGTAAACAGAGAGATTATCACGATTCTTTAGACAAAGCTAGAACGTGGTTGAGAGACGTTGAGCCGAAAGTTATCAGAGTTATTTCCGAACCTGTTGCCGCGGAACCGAAACAAGTAGAGGATCAATTGAGCAAAGCTAAGGCGTTGAACAACGAATTCCTTGCTAATGAACGTCTAATCGATAATGCTAAACACAGCGTTGAGGCGCTGTTACATTCTTTGGAAGGCCAACTAACGATCAACGAGGCTAGAGAGCTTGAGGAACCAGTAAGGGTAGTAGAAGATAAGTACAAACAACTCAGTAATGCTCTGGCTGATAAATGTCAAGAACTTGACACAGCGTTGGTGAGAAGTCAAGGAGTACAGGATGCATTGGACAGTCTGGTTGCATGGCTGAACAATGTTGAAAGTCAATTTAAGTAAGTATAGGAGATATACAATTATATTATTTCTGAATTATTTTGTGTTATCTTAAACTTATCTTTATCTTTAATAAATCGTATATTCTATAGGTCGCTTCAACGTCCAGCAAGTTTGCAGAAGGAACGCTTGGAGGAACAGCAAAGAGAACAGCGATTACTTCAAGCAGACCTAGATAGTCATCGTTTGAGCGTAGAAACAATTACAGCGAACGCTCAGGATCTGCTCTTGAATTCGAGCAACGTTCGCATTGCCAAACGTATTGAAAGCAAGCTGAAGGATGTGCAAAGTAGATTTGAGAAATTAATGGATAAATCCTTGAGGCGCGGTGAATTCCTGGATGAAATCGCGCAGGCCCTGAACGAGTTCCTCGGAGACGTGGCCAAGTTCGAGAGTTGGTATGCGCATATGATGGAAGTTCTCGATTCGAGAGATCTGAACAAACTTGACATGTCAGAATACGAGGCTAAGATGGCTCAACTGATTGACATGCGCGAGGATCAGCGCGGAAACTTCGAAGATCTCATACGTAATGGAAAGAATCTGATTTCTAAGAAGGATATAACCGAAGCAGGCGCGATTAGAGATAAGATCAAAGCACTCGAGTCTCAGTGGAAGGAACTGAACAATCTGCTCGACGAGAAACAACGATTGTGCAAATCAAGGGCGGAGCAACACACAGCCTATGAGAAATTGCGGGATCAAATACTTGATTGGCTTACTCGTACAGAAAACAAGGTGCAAGGACTTGAGCCGGTCGCCGTAGATTTGGACAAATTGAAAATACAGCAAGAGGATTTGAAGCCTATACAAAAAGAATATCGCGATTACGGCAATACGGTTGATAAAATCAATGATCTCGGTATTGCTTATGACAGTTTGATGAAGGAACGCGGCGAAAGTCCAACGCGTCGACGTGGCAGTGCTAGTCCGACGAAGAGACCAGGTATTACATTTGCTATTATTACATGTACGATTTTGCATAGATACTTTTCGATAGCATGATTTTATGATGCAAACTTTGCACGTTGATTTTTTGCAAATCAATTATTACCAATTTAGTAACTTATCAATTACAACTACTAGCTCATATATCTTTCACATTGCATCTTTTTCAGCACATGATCATTGCTATTTCCATTACGTTTGATCTTTTTTTCTGTCATTTTTTTTGTAGTACTGCGAATGTCACAAGACGGTCGCTCGCCGTCGCCCACTAAATCCTACGCAGTTCAAAGTCCGGTCTCCCCAGGTGGTAGCAGTGGATTCAGCAGCCGCCGTTCGAGCCAAGATGGTTTCCATCTCGAGGAATTATCGCCTGTTCAACAGCAACTTTCGGAAATTAATCACAGATACGGATTACTCGGTGTGAGATTGTCGGATCGCCAAACGGAGTTAGATAATATTAGGGAGGAATTGAAGAAACATTTGGACCATCTGAAAACACTTTCACAATTCTTAGATAAGGTAATTATTTTTTAGAATAACGTTACATTTTTAATTGTAATGTATATTTGATATTTAAATACACATTGCAAAAAATATTATATAGCAGAGCATAATACACAATTTTTGTCACTAGATTCAGCGGCAATTGCCTAAAGAAAGCATGCCCGCAACTAAAGATGATGCGGACAAAACGGTCAAACAAGTTAAAGTTCTCATTGAAGAGATGTACGAGAAGCAATCTCTGCTGGATAGTACTCGAACGCAAGTGCGTGATTTGGTCAGACGTAAGAAAGGAGCTGACGGTGTGGATAGATTGAACGACGAGATGGAAGACGTTGCTAGCCGGTGGAGATCAATTTCAGACAGATGCAAGGATCGAATTAAATTCCTAGAAGATATTAAAGATTTTTATGACACGTATGATGGTCTTAACTCTTGGCTTGGCGCTAAAGAGCGTATGCTGGGCGCTTTAGGACCAATTTCGGCTGACCCTCGCATGGTCGCAAGTCAAGTGCAACAAGTACAGGTTTTGCGAGAGGAGTTTAGAACTCAGCAACCGCAATTGGATCATCTCGTACAAATCGGAGAAAGTATCCTCGTCACGATATCCATAGATTCGATAGATGGTCAGAAAATAAATGCGAAATTGCAGAGTATTTTACAGAGATGGGCAGATCAAATGGGAAGATTAGACGAGAGGGCTCAGAGTTTAGGTGACGCTGTTGATACTAGTCGTGAATTCGATGCCAGTCTTAACCGGTTGCGAGACGCTCTGCAAGGAATCTCAGATAATTTAGACGAGTTGACTCTTGAGAAGGATCCCGAAGAGCAGCTTCGTAAGATCGAGAATCTGGAAAGACAATTGGAAGGTCAGAGACCATTGTTAGCGGACGTGGAAATGGCCGGTGCACAGTTGTGTGAGGTTCTAAGTGATCCAGCATCGAGATCCGAGATTCAAGGAAAGCTCGCCACAGTCGGCAAGATGTACAATAACTTGCAGAAGAAGCTGGATCATAGAAAAGCAGAAATCGAAGGTAATCTGCGAGATGGAAGACAATTCGAGGCCTCCTGTAGTAGAACTCTGGGATGGCTCGCGGACGAACTTGGAAATATGTCTGAAAAACTGCTAGTGTCTGCTGATAGAGAAATACTGCAACAGCAACTTGATCATCACGAGGTATGTACCATATTTAAAAAATTCTGTTTTTAATTATATGTTTCATGTCTTCTCAGTTTATTTTATTGATAAAAACAAAACATAATTTTTAGCCCGTTTATCGTAATGTGATGGGTAAAGAGCACGAAGTCATAATGCTGTTGAACAAAGGACGCGACATACTTTCGCGGTCTCAGAAAACTGAAAATCGTTCGCTTCAACGTGATTTAGATAAGATGCAATCACAGTGGGACCGTTTGAAGAAGGATACTGTCGAAAGGCACACTCGATTGCAGACCTGCGCGGAACATTGCAAGAAATACTATAAAGCTCAAGATGTATTTCTTCCATGGCTTCGACAAGCCGAGGATAAATTGGATAGTTTGATTCCCACCTCCTTTAGACGCAAGGACATCGAGAAACAACTGAAAGAATTATCATCGTTTAGGAACGAAGTATGGAAACATTCCGGAGAATTCGAAAATAATAAGATGTTAGGCGAGACATTTGTCGGAGCTTGTGATATTGATAAGCAAAATGTAAAGAACGAGCTTAGTGCTATGAAAACTAGATGGGATAAATTAAATAATGGTATGTTTAAATTCGCTATTGTAATTATATCTTAATTTATTACAGCTTAGACTTGCGTGTTGTGTTATTGTATAATATTATAATTTAATTATATATTTTTTGTAGACTTGCTGTCTAGAACGCAATCTTTGGAAGATACCGCACGTCACCTAATGGACTTCAATGAAAACTTACGCGATTTGCAACACGGTTTACAACGTTGTGAAGATAAGTTAGCTTCACATGATGCTCTTGGTGGAGCGGCTAAAGATCCGAAACTTCTTGATAGGATAAAGGTAATTAGATTTATTATATTTTCACGCACAAAATAAAAACTACGATTAATACAAAATATATACTAATTATGTAATTTTTAGAACTTGCGAGAGGAAACAACGAGCTTGAAGAAACCTTTGCAGTGTGTAAGACAACAGGCTAATGATCTTGTGAACAAAGCCGGCGAGCAAGGCGTCGATGCGACACATTTACAAGACGAAATTGACAATGTTACTGATCGCATTAACGATCTGCAAGCGAAACTAGATGACAGATGCAACGAACTGCAAAGTGCAGCGACAGCGGTCGCGCAATTTAATGATCAAGCGAAATTGATTAATCAACATCTGTCTGCTCTTGAAAAAGATCTAGACTCCATGAAAGCACCCGGTAGAGAAATCAAGATTGTAAGAGGACAATTAGAGGATATTGCCAAGATTGTTAGCAGAATTAACAAACTCTATGAAGAAATTGGCGATTTGGAGAATCGTGGTGAACGTTTGGTTGATTATGGCTTCGCTGCTGACGCTGTAGCCACAAGAGATCAGGTTGACGGATTTAAACGGCAAATTGGAAAACTGGATGAGCGAGCGCGTAACAGAGAAGATGAACTCACTTCTACTTTGAACAAGTTACAAGAGTTCTATCAATTGCACGCAAATGTTATGGAGGGTATTAATAATGCAAACGAACAAGTCAGAAGATTTAAACCTGTGGGATCCGAAGTGGACTCTATTAAAGCTCAGCAGGAGGACTTCAGAACTCTCAAAATTAAAAGGATTGAACCATTAGCACACGCCGTTGAAGATTGTAACGCGCTCGGTCAAAGCCTCATACAAACTGCAGGACGAGATGTCAATACCAGTAATATCGAAAAAGACGTTGATAAAATGAACGAAAGGTGGAACGACTTAAAAGATAGAGTAAGCATTCGATCTATATCTAAATGTTAAGGAATGTATATATTTATTCGACATATTTATGCGAGAATTAACAACATACATTATTTTATTGTTTAATTTATTTATTTTTAGCTGAACGAGCGCGATCGCAAGTTGGACGTTGGATTATTGCAGTCGGGCAAGTTCCAAGAGGCTTTAGATGGTTTAGCGAAATGGTTGACCGATACGGAAGAAATGGTTTCGAATCAAAAGCCACCTTCTTCAGATTACAAAGTCGTGAAGGCGCAACTGCAAGAACAGAAATTCTTGAAGAAGATGTTGATGGACCGACAAAATTCTATGACGTCTCTCTACAATATGGGACGAGAGGTAGCCGCCGATGCGGATCCAAAGGAGCGTAAGGCTATTGAGAAACAATTGAATGATCTAGTGGGTAGATTTGATAATCTGACGGAAAGCGCCGCGGAGAGGATGGATGCTCTTGAGCAAGCAATGGTGGTAGCGAAGCGATTCCAAGATAAGTTAGTACCACTTACTATCTGGTTGGATAAGACGGAGAAGAAAGTCAGGGACATGGAATTGGTTCCTACCGACGAAGAGAAAATACAACAGCGTGTCAATGAACATGATATACTTCATGAGGATATTATATCGAAGACACCAGATTTTAGCGAACTCACGGAGATAGCTAGCCAACTTATGTCGCTGGTAGGCGAAGATGAGGCTACTACGTTGGCTGATAAACTTCAGGATGCAGCAGATAGATACGCAGCTTTGGTTGAACGATCCGAAGCTCTCGGTAGCTTGTTACAACGTTCGAGACAAGGCTTACGTCATTTAGTTCTCACGTATCAAGATTTACAAGCATGGATGGAGAACATGGAGATCCGATTGTCGAAGTATCGCATATTGGCTGTACATACGGAGAAGCTTTTACAACAAATGGAAGATCTCGCGGATCTTACAGAAGAAGTATCCACGCGACAAACGGAAGTCGACAGTACCGTTGATTCCGGCCTAGAACTGATGAAACACATCTCGAGCGACGAAGCACTTCAACTGAAGGACAAGTTGGACTCTCTGCAACGACGGTTTAACGATCTTGTCACGCGCGGCTCAGATCTTTTGAAACATGCCCAAGAGTCCTTACCATTGGTGCAACAATTCCATGATAATCACAATCGTCTGATGGATTGGATGCAAGGCGCGGAGGCTGCTTTGCAGTCCGCCGAACCTCGTGAGGAAGAGATTATCCGACTTGAGATGGAGATATCGGAATATAGACCCGTTTTGGATAAGATCAACGCTGTGGGCCCGCAGCTGTGTCAAATGTCGCCGGGAGAAGGTGCTGCGACAATCGAAGGTCTCGTAACCAGGGACAACAGGCGATTCGATGCAATTGCCGAACAGATCCAAAGAAAGGCAGAAAGAATTCAATTGAGCAAACAGCGATCTTTGGAGGTGATTGGCGATATCGACGATTTGCTCGATTGGTTCAGAGAAGTGGACAATCAACTTCGAGAGGCTGAGCCGCCCAGCAGCGAGCCTGAAATTATTAGAGTACAATTGAAAGAACATAAAGCGCTTAATGATGATATATCCAGTCAGAAAGGTAGAGTCCGTGACGTTATTTCGACTGCAAAGAAAGTAATACGCGAGAATGCTCAGCACGAAGATACATCTACTATCAGAGATAAGATGGAGGACTTGCGCGAAACAATGGAAATTGTATCGGCTTTATCAACAGACAGATTGGGAGCTCTCGAGCAAGCTCTACCATTAGCAGAACATCTTCGCGATACTCACGCTGGCCTGGTCAGCTGGCTCGAGGAGGCTGAACAACAAGTCGCTATGTTACCTATGCCTGCACTGCGGCCCGACTTGATAGCGGCGCAACAGGACAAAAATGAGCTTCTTATACAGAGCATTAACGAGCATAAACCTCTAGTGGAGAAGCTCAATAAGACCGGTGAAGCGCTCATCAAGTTGTGCAACGAAGAAGAAGGTATAAAAGTGCAAGACATCTTGGACAATGATAACGCTCGCTATGCGGCATTGAGAGCTGAGCTAAGAGGCCGGCAACAGGCGTTGGAGCAGGCACTGCAGGAATCCTCTCAGTTCTCTGATAAACTGGAGGGTATGCTGCGTGCATTGTCTTCTACCGCCGATCAGGTGAACGGCGCTGAACCCATCAGTGCTCATCCGCCTCGTTTACGCGACCAGATGGAAGAAAATGCTGCCTTAGCAGACGATCTTGCTCAAAGATCCGAGGCTTACGCGGCTGTTAAAAAAGCAGCGGACGATGTGATCAGCAAGGCCGGCAACAGGGCCGATCCGACAGTGAAAGACATCAAACGCAAGCTGGATAAACTTAACAGATTATGGACCGACGTCCAAAAGGCCACGACCGATCGCGGTCACACTTTAGATGACACTCTAGCCGTCGCTGAAAAATTCTGGGCCGAGCTGAACGGAGTCATGGCCACTCTGAGAGAACTACAAGATGCGCTGGCTGGACAGGCACCACCGGCGGCTCAACCAGCTGCTATCCAGCAACAGCAAGTAGCGTTGCAAGAAATTCGACAAGAGATCGATCAGACTAAGCCAGATGTCGAGCAAGTCCGAACATCAGGACACGAATTGATGGGCTTATGTGGCGAGCCGGATAAACCTGAAGTACGAAAGCACATCGAAGATTTGGATCAGGCTTGGGATAACGTCACCGCTCTGTACGCCAGACGCGAGGAGAATTTGATCGACGCCATGGAGAAAGCGATGGAGTTCCACGAGACGCTACAGAACTTGTTGGAGTTCTTGCAAGAGGCCGAAGATAGATTTGCAGAGATGGGCCCGCTTGGCAGTGATATTGACGAGGTGAAGAAGCAGATCAAGCAGCTGGCCAATTTCAAGGCCGAGGTGGATCCGCATATGGTGAAAGTCGAGGCGTTGAACAGGTGACGATTTAATTTTTAAGTTAAAGCAGAATTTACATGTAAATGGCGTTACAAAGAGTTCAGTGCGCAGCATTGTCCCCTTTGTGCAACTCCCGTCCGATAATTATTTGCGATGAGTGACCTTCGAGAAAATGTAAAATCTAATCCCGTCTCTTTTGTTTTTCTGCGCCGGTTCCCGAACATAGGAGTCTGACAAGGCAAGTTAATCTCTCTCTGTGTTGTCGCTGGTAGTTAGAGCATGGCTTCGTATTGTTCTGAACGTGTTTATTCCCCCCTGTTTAGTTTAATAATCTTGCTGCCCCTTAACAATTTACGTCATTACATTTAATCGGATCCTCCCCCTTTATGTTACCTCAAAGCAGATTACTCAGCCGCATGTAGCAGGTAAACCGAGTGATCAATCACGAGAATTCGTAGACGATAATATAATTTATATTTTTGATAGAAATAATATGGAAGCGGCAGTGATTAATATCCAGTTGATATTAATTCCTCCGGTAGTTAAACTCATTGAAATTTTTATACCCGTCCTCCCTGTAGATGTGGTTCATTGTTATGTGGTTCAAGTATATATTGCAACATACGTTTCTATATAACATCAAGAGAAATGACGATGCATTTTCTAACATTATTATCGTCTTTTCATATCTAGACAAGCAGCTGAATTAACGGAAAGAACATCTTCCGAACAAGCAGCAGCCATCAAGGAACCGCTCGGTGCCGTGAATAAACGGTGGGATGGATTACTGAGAGGCTTAGTGGAAAGGCAGCGATTACTGGAGAATGCGTTATTGCGACTCGGTCAATTCCAGCACGCTTTGGATGAACTATTAGTATGGATCGAGAAAACTGATAAGACATTGGATAATCTCAGACCAGTGGCAGGTGATCCACAAGTAATCGAAGTTGAGTTGGCCAAGCTGAAGGTCCTGGTAAACGATATACAAGCTCATCAGACGAGCGTCGACACTCTAAATGATGCTGGACGACAATTGATTGAGGATGGCAAAGGTACTGCAGAAGCGTCTACTACAGCCGACAAACTAGGCACTTTGAATCGTCGTTGGCGAGATCTACTGCAACGCGCCGCTGATCGCCAGCGAGAACTAGAAGATGCCTTACGAGAGGCACAATCCTTCACCGCTGAGATACAGGACTTGTTGTCGTGGTTAGGCGACGTGGATAACATGATAGTAGCATCCAAGCCAGTTGGTGGATTACCCGAGACTGCATCCGAACAGTTGGAACGCTTTATGGAGGTGTTTAACGAATTGGAACAAAACCGTCCGAAAGTCGAAACGGTGCTGCAACAAGGACAGGAATATTTGAAGAAAGCGGATACGAGCAGTGCCGGTGGATTGAATCACAATCTGCGAACGTTGAAGCAAAAATGGGACAATGTGCTTTCGCGCGCTAGCGATAAGAAGATAAAGTTAGAAATTGCTCTGAAGGAGGCCACTGAGTTCCACGACGCGTTACAAGCTTTCGTCGATTGGCTAACAAATGCTGAAAAGATCCTGACGAATCTTAGACCGGTCTCGAGGGTCATGGAAACTATACTTCAACAAATCGAGGAACACAAAGCCTTCCAAAAGGACGTCGGCGTCCATCGCGAAACTATGCTAAATCTCGATAAAAAAGGAACCCATCTCAAATACTTCTCTCAAAAACAAGACGTGATTCTTATAAGAAACTTGCTCGTGAGTGTGCAACACAGATGGGAACGAGTAGTTTCCAAGTCAGCCGAGAGAACGAGGGCTCTAGATCACGGTTACAAGGAAGCTAGAGAATTCCACGACAGCTGGTCGAACCTGATGAACTGGTTGGATGACACCGAGAAGACTTTAGACGAAGTCGCTGCCGACGGACTTGGCGGCAATGATCCAGACAAAATTAAATCCCGTCTTAACAGACACCGTGAGGTACAAAAGGCACTGAGTGCTAAGCAGAGCACGTACGACAATACCATGAAGAACGGCAAAACGTTGAAAGACAAGGCACCGAAATTCGATGAACCTGCCTTGAGGGAACTTCTAAATGAATTGAAAAATAAGTGGACTACGGTCTGCGGTAAATGCGTGGATCGTCAACGAAAACTGGAGGAAGCTTTACTATTCTCCGGACAATTCAAGGATGCGATTCAGGCACTGTTGGAATGGTTGAGCAAGACCGAAAAATATTTGGCCAATCCTGGACCACTTTACGGTGACTTGGATACGGTAACCAATTTAGTGGAGCAACATAGGAACTTTGAAAGAGATCTGGAGTCACGCGCCTCACAAATGGAATCCGTCATTAAAACTGGTCGCGAATTGGAATCTAAAGCCTCCATTGAGGATGCGTCAATGATCAGATCACAGCTGTCGGAATTAAACAGTCTCTGGGATAGAGTAACTAGTCTCTCGACGAAAAAGTCCAGACTATTGGAAGAAGCTCTTAGAGAGGCCGAACGGCTTCATAAAGCCGTTCACGTGTTACTGGAATGGTTGAGTGACGCGGAGATGAAGCTACGATTCGCTGGACCGCTGCCGGAAGACGAGCAGGAGAGCAGGAACCAATTAATGGAGCATCAGAGATTCCTCCGCGAGTTACAAACTAAGGAAATTGAAAAAGACAACACATTAGAGTTGGCACATATTATTCTTGGAAAAGCGCATCCTGACGGTGCCGCAGTTATCAAACACTGGATCACAATTATTCAATCTAGATGGGAAGAAGTGGCAACATGGGCCTATCAAAGGAACCAAAGACTGGAAAATCATATGCAGGGACTGCAGGTTTGTACTACACTAAATATCTTATATAAGTCACATTTTATCTTATAGAAGAAATGAATATTGTTGTTACATGTGGATTTACAGGATCTTGATAATCTTCTCGAAGAGTTATTAGCCTGGCTTGAAGGTTTGGAGAATACTTTGAATGCCTTAGAAGCGGAACCTTTGCCCGATGATAGAGCTACGCTCGAAATGCTTATCGCGGATCACAGAGAATTCATGGAGAACACCAGCCGAAGACAAAACGAGGTTGATCGCGTGTGCAAAGCCCGACAAATTAAGCCAATAAAAGACGCGAGGAAAATATCGAAAGTCAGATCACCAGCACCTACGTACGTATTTATCAACGCGAGAATTTATACAATATATTGATACAATTAAAATCCTTTCTGTTTTTGTGAAGAAAAATATATGAATACCTACGTAATGGATAATATGCACAGCATTGTGTATCATTACGCTTACTTCGTATTTGAATCGTTAAGTGTTGTTTGCATTCTATTCATATATGTATTGCATCTGCATCTGTGTTAATTATTTTAACTTGTTTCTCACAAATTTTGCTATGTGCACATTGCAAATTTAGGAAAATTTTCAGACCATCGTAAAGATTATGAAAGAATCTTTTACTTTGCTAGATGCTCGCAGTTTTTATCATCTTTTATATATTGAACTTCGTATATTGTGTGTATTTAACTATCGCATGATATGTTGCTTTTGCAATGGGATTTCAGTAAGGATCTCTATCAGGATAACGAGCATGAGCAGCCTCAGCCTCGTAAACAAAGGTGCGTTGTCCATCATAACATATGTAAATATTTTCCATTTAGCCTAATCGCATAATCATTTTGTAAGTACAGTGTTCTGTGTTTATGCTATTATGCATTTTCAGTAGAAATGTATGCGTTTTATTTTTGTACGATTTTATATAATAATATTGAATACACAACATTCTCATCACACGATAATTCTTGTTCGCACAATAATTTCACAGTATCCAGCAACAGGAGCAGAAGTTTAGAATTAAGTGTATTAACTCACTTGCTTTTCACTCGTGTGTGACTACACATGCATAAACTTATTACTGTTCACAATGCACTGTGTTAAGAAAATCAGATACATTAGCCAATGTATGCAGCTGTTCAGAAAATCAAGCTTTGCTATTGTTGTCAAATTCTTTAATATGATTGATTTTGGTCTTAGTTTTCCACTAGATTTAAAAGTATAAGTCAATTATATTAAAGAATATTACAACAATGCAAAAATGCTTCTTCTGCTGAACGCAGCTAATATATGTTCTTTTGCATTTTGTGTTATACGTTATGTCATTATAATGCAAACATATAGCTTTAAGACACGATTAACTATTTTTCAACACGATGTAAAACTGACTTTTTTTAGATATTTAAATCAAATATAATTTTCACATGTATATACGTAAGAATCGACACTTGATAAAAACTCGCGTTAATTTTATACACTTTTATAATCTAATACTCACAAACGAAAGACAATCTATAAACCAGAGTGCTGTATTGAGACGCGAAGAAGAGCGTTTTATTAGGTGCCTTATTTAGTAGAGAATGTTTGAGTGATGTGACGCATGTTCCTGTTTAGCCGAGGCAGCCCAGGTCGTGACAGAACACCAGATCTTTCATTGCCACACATCGGTCCACGCTTCCCACCCAAAGGAAGGTTCGTTACACCTAGTTTTATTTCAGTTCATTCTGCACCATTCCATCATTTTCATCCGAATCATACAGGCATTACTACACTTATCGTACAACTCATTATACGACTCATTAATATCTCGGTAATGGGATTATTGTTTTTTTTTTTCATTTTTTTGCGGGATGACATGTGGTCGGGTTTTGATAAATTGTTACTGTTCGTTCAGAAAATTGTTTGTCTTGTACTGAAAGTGTGAAGTCTTAGATTTTCTGCAACATTTACATTTGAATTTGTTATTGAGTTGTTTATGCGAAAATCATACCTCATTGTTATACCTTTTTCTTGAAATTATCTCTGTGATTAATTACCTTAATAAGATAACATTTCACGTTTTTAATTCTTATGTATTATATATGCATATATTTTTCGTGTGTAAATATATATATTTTTTTTCTTCCTATAAACAGCAAAGGAGCCGAGCCGGAATTCCGCAGTCCGAGAGTTAAGCTTCTCTGGGATAAGTGGCGTCACGTTTGGATGCTAGCGTGGGAACGACAACGCCGTTTGCAGGATAAATATAATTACATTCAAGAGCTGGATCGCGTTGCTAACTTTAGCTGGGAAGATTGGCGCAAACGGGTAAAAATTTTTTAAAAAAGGCGCCAAGTATTTGTTCTTCTAAGAAAAAATTGTTATACAATACAAACCCAAGTGATAATATCTTTAATTTTGCTTTAAATTAAATTTAAATAGAGTATTATATTATTTTGTTTGTATTTGTATTATTTTGTGTAGGATTAAAACTATTATTACTTGGTTTGGAATAGGAAGACTCCTAAATACAAACATATATAAACTCACATACTATTTAAATGTAATTAAAAAAAAATTTATATTACTCCTTGAATTCGTATGGTATAATGATTTTTATATATTCTCTTTTACCTTTGATAGAAATAAAAATTAATCATTTTTTTATCAATTATTATGAACCATTTAAATATACAGTATTTATTTTCTAATTGCAGTTCTTGAAATTCATGAATCATAAGAAGTCCAGACTAACGGATCTATTCAGGAAAATGGATAAGAATAATGATGGACTTATACCGAGGGAAGACTTCATTCAAGGAATTATGAACACCAGTATTTATCATACCTTGTTTATTTTTTTTCTATATAAGGACATTTATTTTTCTAATACTCTAATTATTTCGTATCCATAGAATTTGAGACTTCCCGTCTGGAAATGGGAGCTGTTGCCGATCTCTTCGATCGTCACGGCGAAGGCTTGATAGATTGGAAGGAGTTCATCGCCGCTCTGCGACCCGACTGGGAAGAACGACGCACCTACAACGACACGGACAAGATACATGATGAAGTTAAACGGTTAGTTATGCTGTGTACCTGTCGCCAGAAGTTCCGCGTTTTCCAAGTTGGCGAAGGAAAGTACAGGGTATGTATATGATTAAGTAACGATTTGATGAAGCGGACATGCGTTTATCTAATTGTAATCAAATATCTGTTAATATCAATAATTACATATAACTTAATTGTAACGACTGCGAAATTACAGTTTGGTGATAGTCAGAAACTACGATTGGTTCGAATCTTACGTTCCACTGTTATGGTACGCGTCGGTGGAGGCTGGGTAGCGTTAGACGAGTTTCTTCTAAAGAACGATCCATGCCGCGGTAAGTATTCATCACGAGCCTTTAATCTGCGCGATATATGTAGGCAATCCGAGATCAGGTTGAGATAAATCGTAATCTATACTCTTTCACGATTTTTTTAATTATACCAATAGTAAGGAAAAAGAAAATAATCAATTAAAACGACTTGTGACTGGGTGAACTATTGGGTTAATGCGAAACATATTTGCAAGGCAAATTACTCCTTAATTGCAAGCAAATAACTTTCAAAAGAAATTTTCTACTGTCTCCTTCTCTTTATCCTTCTTTCCCAAGAGGCAATTAAACTTGCGTTCCCGTTTAATTTCGATATTTCTAATAATCGAAAATGATACTTTTAAGTATTTGTTATTATAACAATATGTTAACGTTTTGTTTTTGTTTCCATCGCTCTTCACATTAATCAACATTACTTTGCTTTGCTGCATTAAATGTAGAAATGTAGTACCATTTAAGAGAAATTCATTATCATTAACGAAAGCCTGAACGTCGATTTGATATGACTATTTGTCAACTCTATATCCTAATAAGACTAACTAAAGATATTAAGATTATATAATATGTACGATTTCCACTCCTGAGGGGTCATAACATTGCCATTATAATCAGACATTAAATGCAACTCACTGTTAACTTAATATTTAAAGAACAATTGAGAGTAGTGTACACATTCGCTGTTTATTGCTTTTGCTTATCTAGAAACTATTTTTCCGGTATAATAATATGTATATTGGTTTACTTCGTTGATATTCGATAAAAAAAATCAATTCAATATTTATTATTATTTTTACATTAAATTTTACATTTATTATATTTACGCTACAACATGCATGACAATTTAATTTAATCACTTCAATATTGAATTGCGTGAAAAATGTCAGTTTTCTCTCTACTTTTCTTTTAATTTCTCTCTCTCTGCCTTTTCCGCCAATGATAAATTCATTAATGAATTTTGGAATATCAGTCTTGAGATAATCATTAGTTCTACGTCAGAGAACTTTTCTGGTATAGTACGATTTCATGAGTAGTAGGTAGAAGGTAATATTTTACAGTAGGCATATCTAACATCTTGTTAACTATGTACTAACGTTAACATAACTGTTCCTTACTGTCCATCGGTCCTCCTCACATCCCGTACGTCTAACTCTACAACAAACATTTCTGTTTGTTTCATTTTCATGTATATCTTTTACGTTTATGTTTTACGTTTGTTTACCGAATGTGTTCCGTTGACTAAAAAATTATAAACTTCTAAACCGCGACGCATGCATGAATATATCGACACATCTTGTTCTTTCTAACCGATTTTGTCTCTCGAATCGTGATTAACTCGTAAAGTTTTTCTAATGCCAATACCGGATCCTAACAAACCGGAACAACATGAGGGTTGGTGTCCGCTCGGTGAGAACTGTTTTACGTGCACAACAATTCATTCATGGTCTATACATTGAACGAAACTTGCTCGTTCAATTATTAAACTGTCGAATTCTCAATTGAATATTTATGACATGCCCGAGTCGGCCCGAGATGCTCGCCAATAACTAACAATTGCTGTAGTATAGACCATGAAGGTGATATTCCTGCGTATGGTGCATGACCTTATTAGCTTGTTCGAACTAATTTTTCGAAGTGTTGCCTTTTTGTTAAGTATGTCTACATACGTGCGTATACGGTTGTATTATATGGAACGATTGGCAATTACTGTCTGGATAAGGTAAATAGATTGCGCAGGTGAAATTAACGCTATAGTTACTGCGTAATATTAACTGTTTTCTTGATGCAGTTTCGAGTGCCAGTGTTTAAAAAAAAAGAGTGCCTGTATTTATAGTGATGCAGAATTACGTAATATACTGCAGTCGTTTCGCTTTCTTTTCCCCGTTTTGTATTCAATTTTCTTTTTTTAGTTTCGGTGAATGGTTCACGTTAGCCAATCTATCTCTTGATTGATAATTATTTTCTATATAAGTGTTCTACTCTTGCAGTAATATTCAATGTGATTATTTCATTAATTGATTTGCAATTAATTTCAATATATCCTTTGTAGCGCCCCTTTGTGTAGCATTTTAATATCCTTGCTAGAAGATAACCAATGCATGTTTAGTGAATTTTTGTTTGTTTTTACAATTATCCTACTCTGGGAGATGAGTTTTGTATATATGAATATATTGAGACTTCTCATTCTCTCCTCTCCCTTCTTTTAGTTTAGCTTCTCATTTAAAATGTTATATTAAAGTTAAAGAGTACATTGGTTTCTCTTTTGGCATGGTTACGCGCGTAATTTCAAAAAAATTTTTTTATATGCAGAGAATTCTAGGAATGTCGTATTTTTCTTCAACTAAAAATAAAAAAGGTAAACAAGAAAAAAATAAAAAAGAGGGAGTATGAAGTTGTTGATAAATAACAATATTTCGAACAATTTTTTAAATAAAAACTAAATTTTTTATTTATAAGTGAAGACATTCTGGGATGCTCTATGACGTATTCATGAATTGCTTAGGCATATTGTGAAATGTACGATAATGAGCGACTTAAAGCATATTTTTATTGTAAAAAAAAAGAGAAAATGTAAGAAATAAATTCCGTCGCAAATCGTACAATTTACGCCAATATCCTAAGCACTGAAATTAGTATTGTATAATAAAGTCCCAGTCAGTGGCAGAATATTTAGTGGCTCCTGTATCGTAAACCTTATTTATATAATGATTATGGTAAACGTAAAACTTAGTTTGAGTGATTGTTTTAATAAGCTTGTATACCTCTGTGAAATATTGAATTTTATAATGTCAAACTTTTTTTTTGATCGTATATTCTAAATATGCTGTCTTTTCTTTTTTTTCCATGATACACAAATGCATACCTGGATACGCCACACTCGCATACATGTACTCAAAAACACGCACGCATACCGTGAAACATTTTTGTCGCCTTTTTTTCTCTTCACTTTTTCTCAAAACTATTTCTCCTCTCCATTATTGCCGCTATTCATCAATAACGCGCATGCCTTGATATTGTAAATTTGTAAAAATATATATATATATTGTTACACCTTCCGCTCCATATAACTCATGACTCTCGTTCCGGATGTTGTCGTTCCGATATTCGTTTTAACTTTCATTTTTTTTCTTTTTTTTCTTATTAATTATCATACATTGTTTTCGCGTTCGTTATTTCATCTTGACGTCATCCGTTCCCGCTGTCTCCGAACTGTTTTCTTGTACAAAATAACATCTCTCTGGCACTTCCTTTCATACCCCGCATCCCCGAAACGCCTTTTCCCTAACTGCGTGCACGCAACACACTGTAGCCAAGGGAAGAACGAATATCGAGCTGCGGGAGCAATTTATACTGGCGGATGGTGTTAGCCAGACTATGACAGCCTTCCGTTCCAAGCCGAGTCCGACCTCGACGCTGCAGCGTACGCAAATGTCCTCCACGAATGCTGGACCAATCACCAAGGTAAGCAGGGTCCATTGTGCAATCGTGGAATCTCTTAAACGCGACGTAGCACGTACGGTATTCATTTTCGTCGCGTCTTTTATTTCTCTGCCGTTAATTTGTAAATTAAACTCGTAGAATACTCGTAAACTTTTATATTAGATCTTGGGTGCCGTTGTGGTACCGCAATAGAAAATATTAAATTGCACGTACAGCTCTTACCTGGACAACTCTATCAGTGATTGATTTATGGTCTCATCGATATCCGTAAGTATACGACTACTTTTCGACTAGCCGTCAATCTAGCAGTTTGACATTCGCATGAGCATGGCAGTTTCCAGTCAGTTGCATTGTTTGAATATGTAGAGGCATTTAGAAATCTATGACGCTTGTCTACTCTCATCACTGGTCGGTTTTGTAAAAAAAAAAAAACAGTTTGAGTACACCAACTAAAAGCCAGACCCGACGTCTCGAGCTCTTCGTTCGACCTCAGGAGATGCGATTTCGTAAATTTCTTGCCTATCTTTTCCGAAAATCCTTTCCAACCTTCATCACTTCGTAACAGCAAGAGGAAAATTCTCCCAATTCCATACAATCACTCATCCCTGCGAAATCCTATGAAGACAAATGTTACATTAGATGTTAAATTGAGAAATTTTTTACATTGTGATCCGAGTCAGAAGAAAAGACATGTTGGAATCATATATCAATTTAGTGTGGAGATAGCTGTTCGTTTCAGGAATATTTTTCACTTGTTGGCGTGTGAGCCTTCCGAAAAAGGGGCCACTACAATTGCATGAGAAAGCTAAAGATTTTCGTTTGTGGTGTAGCGGAGGAGTTTATGAGCCAGCTGATGCCGATATTTGAGAATTTGAGGCAAAAGGAGGACCTCCCGTGCTCGTATCCCCTTCACATGCACGCCCCCTCTTATTATTGGGTAAATAACGAAATCTTTCTCAATTTTCTATTTCTTGGCGTTCGTGTGATGCTGTGCACACTTGAGTTTTGGATTTTGAGTGCGGTCGCGACACGCGATTTGAGTCGATCGACGGTGCATTGTGTATTTCTGGACTGTCAGTACGTTTGCTTTTTTTCCCTTTTATTTTTTTAATATTTATATCCTGTACTGCACCAACCTTAAGGGATCCATTCTAAAAACGAGGACATTCTATATTCTAAGGACATGCCTAGAAAGTCCTTCGGTTCCTTAAAGTTTGCTGTATGGGATATCACAGAGATTCTCCGATGATGCATACATGCCAGACGTAAACAATAATTATGAATAATCAACGAGCATAAGTAATTATTCATAATCTTTGTATCATAAATGCTTCCGACTGTAACGAAGTTGATAAATGCATGTCAGAAGAAAATGTGTGTATGAAGAGAACAAGTAATGTGAAGGAGAATGAATAGGAGCAGAGACTTAAAAAGAAATTTCCGGTTTATTATCACGTATCTTATCATTGTATCTGCCTCAAGCCTGCCCATTTTTCTTTAAAGATTGTAAATCCATTTTGCGGTCTGATATTGTTCGAGATAGATTCATAGCATGTTACATCTCGTCACATTCATTCAAGCACATTGCTCTGCATTGACTTGATTCTATTTTTGGTTGATCGTTGAATGTGTCTGATTTTATCAGAATTATTTGGACGCCTCTTAACTTCCTGACCCTTGACCCTAGAAAACGATTGTCCATCCAATTTTGAGCATGATCAAATGTCTCTTTCACTGATTATCATCTTATTTTTTAATGTAACGTAAATATCAAGGAACAAACTATCGGCGATTTTATCAAGAATTAATTTCTCATTTCTTGCATCTTTCAATCTCGTATTCGAAAGAACATTGTCAATAACAGTCATAAAATTTCTTTGTGAGCGATTTGAAATCGACTTTTTGCAAATAAGTTCACGGTAGTAGACATGCGTTTATTTGTACGGCAAAACGAAAAACGCATCGGGGATATGTAGTTTAATTGAACATGGACATGCATAACGAATGTGTATCCTGTATTGCTGCGTGCGTAGTGGCATTGATCGGAGATACCTCGAATCACCATAAGCTACTATATCTCTCCCAACTTCTTGTGGTAAGTTTTGCATGACACTTCGCTTTACCTATTACCCGAATCTGGTAACTTTTATTTTACATTCTGTATTATTTAATCTTGATATTTCAACAGCTTCGACGAGCGTAATGGACCGCAAACCGGTATATCTTCACTAGTTATGGCTGTGCACAAGTTTGTGTTGCTTGTTAAACTTCTAGTGATAATAACGCGATAGAATTACTGATCTAATTTAACTGATATAAATTTCTAGAACCAAGTGCTTTCACATTTTAGCTGCTGCATTTATATATGTACTTTGAGTGAATAATTAAAGTTAACAGTTGAAGACTAGAATTCTATTCTTTTATATTTTCTGGTAAAATATCTTTTTCACATTAGAGTATTAGAGAAAGCACATATATTTTCTATTACCATAAGCATATTAAAAATTTAGTAATATTTAGTATTATATCTAGTTCATATAAATTTAGACATATGTTTTTATTTTATCTGATACTGCTTGATTTTACTTTTATTAAAAAATCACAAAAGATAAAGCTACTATATTACAAGCAGCAGATTTTTTTTAGTAGTTTCCAAAAATATTTGAAAGGTGTTTTATTGCGCGCGACGTAACTTGCACACAGCACTAATATTAGCAAATACTAATAATTAGGCGGCAGAGAACGCGTAATACGAAACCGTACTCATTCGATAGTCGTACTGGACACAAATTAGATATAGTGACAGCTTCTTCTGCTTTTGTATGCATTTATATGTCAATTTTATCAGATAATTTGTATTTACTATCTAGGTGAGAGAACGCAGTGCTCGCAGCGTACCTATGGGTCAGTCGCGAGCTTCGCGTTCATCTTTGAGCGCTGGCACGCCTGACAGCCTTAGCGACAACGAAAGTTCCTTCAAGATATCTAGAAAAACCAGTACGCCTTACAGATCTACCATGACGCCTGGTAAGATTCCGAATTTGTATTAAAAACACTGTTACTTATGAAGTAATGAGGACAGTTTATAGTAATTATCGTTAATTAATTGTATGTTATATATCGTATGTTATAATGCTTTATAGGTGGTAGCCGTCCATCTAGCAGGCCAGCATCAAGACCTGCCTCTCGACCAGCCAGTAGACCGAGTAGCCGACCTGCGTCGAGACAAGGAAGCAAACCGCCTAGTCGATATGGATCAACGCAGTCGTTGGATGGTACGTATAAACTTCTGTTTTATAAAGTAAAAGATAGTAAGAGAGTCTGTATGAGTCAAAGCAGCTAACTGGTGAATTATTATATGTATTCACCCATAATTATATATAAAAGTATCTTTTAGAGTCGTTTCGACCCCATTTTGGACTCTCTTCAGTGTTTATTAATAATGCATGTAATTTGGAATTTAAGTTTATATCGAATCTTCGATTTATTACAATTCAAATATCAATCGAGTGTTTAAAACAATTAAGATTGTTATGATAAAGTAACTTGTAAAGTTTATAATGTTTAAATTTTTAGACAATCAGTGTAAAAACTAGTAAATAAATTAAATTAAAATAAAAAATTAATTAGAAATCCAAAACTTAAAAAGATATGAGAATTATTAAATTCCGTTTTATACTTTCTTTGGATAAGTCTGAAAAATTGTCTGATATCTGATTTGGCAGACGATTCATGCACCCCAAGTCGCATTCCGCGAAGGACTATCATAGGCTCCGGTAATACTCCGACGTCCAGTAGACATAACAGTGTATCTGGTAGAAAACTTACAACTCCGATGAACGGATCGAGCTCTAGACCCCGCACTCCAACGGGATTAATCAGCCCCGCCAGCGGAGTACCCTCTAGGTTTGTAGTCCTCAACATGTGTCATCTTACATCTCTGAAATAGATCGTGGACTAACTCGCATTAGCGTGCCTTAAACAGGATATATATAACCACAACTGTGTGCATATAGATTAACGTCAACCAGTAGTATCTGACTTAACGTCAAACTGACTGATTATTCGAGGAATATTCGATATGTATGTTTATCCCAAAAGAATCACACAACTATTTGTTTTTTTATTAGTTTCTATTTAGTTTTATCCTTTTCTATTTTGTTTTACTCTATTTTTTCCGTCTTTTCTTTACATTACAATTCCACCGCGTACGTACACTACATACGACACCATACCACGTGAAATACCGTCAAAGTGTTTGAATATGAAGAAACAAAGACGTATCGGACGATGCATTACATATTAATTGAACAAATCTTTTACTACATCTCGTGTTAACCGCAAAACATTTACACGACTAATCGATCGGGTATAGTATTTTAATAATCATTAACAGATCTGGTTAACAACATTTTTTAGGTTTGGCTCAATCCATAGAGCTTCGAGCATTCCAACCCTGACTGGTGTCGGAACACCTATCAGGTAAAGCAAATTAACGAATCGGCAATTTCATGTAAAACTGGCTCGGGGTAGCGATTCTACAACTTTCGCTTTGCGTTATGCATTCTATCTTGTAAAGCACTATATTAGAAATAAAAAACAAGAAGCAAAACGCAAAGTAAAAAGCTGTCAAGTGTTTTGTGGTGTGGGACGCTTTTTATATAAGAGACTTTAGTCGTGGTGACGGCGATACATTTATGCTTATTTTTTCATTGTTATTTTATTTCGATCATTGTGATTGTATTTTTCCTGATTTTCCTCTCTTCGTTTCTGACTTCGTTTATCCAATTCTCATGCAACGCGAAAAGAGTTTCCGATATCGTACACTTACATAAGATATCATCCGTGCAATTAAAAATAACATTTCGATGGTAATGCCTTAGCCGCTCTAGGATTCCCGTATATGTGGGGGTGGATATAAAATCTCCTCAGTCGACCACCAGCAATATGTCGACTCATTCAACACAAAGCAACCATTCTACGATTTCTACTGATTCCACTGGGTATGGCTGAACTGGCGCTTTACAATATAACCCGTTTTCCGTTTCTTCTCACATTCTTTGAATGTTTTACTTTTCTAGCATTATAGAACTTTTTGCAATTAGTAGCATTATTTAACATGTTTGTTGTGTTTATTTTTCACTAAAATTTCATCTTGAAATTGTATATTACGTAGCATGGCTTTATCTCATTTGACAAAAACAGCTCGTTCCTTTTCTGTAGCTAATAATGCCTGGCAGCTTTCCGTTTTATTTATCATGTCGATAGTGCAACCAAAGTATTCATAAATTATCACTAATTGATACCAGCTTCTATATCCATTAAATATTTCGATTATAACAGTTTTATATTTAAACTCCTTAACTAACGTTTTCTTTCATAACGCTAGGAGCAGTTCCCTGTGTACCAATTCAGCAACTAATATACCAACAGCCATTAAGCAAGCTAGGTAAACATCAATATTGATTCAAAAAATTTCCTTTCTCTCCTTCATTCGTTCACTGAAAATGTGCCTAAAAGGTCCAATATCGATTTGCATTCGAGCTGCTTTATTGGTATTAAAAGGTAACGTTGGATTACACATGTGCACATATACAATTGTTTGTTTCAGGGTACGTACACCGTCCAGTGGATCCAGCACACCACTACCGCCGTCTTCAAAATTATCGAGGAAACCTTCCGGAGCTTCCGACACGTCGGTGTCGGGAATGACTCCGATCACACGAAAAGGAAAGCCCACACCGATCGAACAGCGCGCGCCGTTCCGATTGTAATAGCTTATTAACGGATACTTATAGCTTGTAAAATCAGCGTATTATACCCGAGAAAATATAAAGATAAATATAAAATATCCCCGCCAAATTTAAGAATGATCGGTATTGCAGGGAACATATGAGAATAGGTTATTGTTGTTGTATATCGAGGGAGAAGAGCGCGTGTAATATGTGAATGGTAAATTAAATGCTGGATCAAAATTTCGTAGAAGGCAAATGATGAATCTAGGAGTTACGATTTTATCATTCATATTTCGTTGAATCCGCCAAGTACTGAATGCCATTAAAATTACAGATACCAATGAGTATTTTATACTCTCTTAGGGTAAGGGATTACAGTTGGGGAAATTTATTTATTTCATGCCCGCGTTAGAAAGTGCTTAAAGCGTCTATCTAGTTTATGATAACACATGACAGTGAAATAAATTATTGTTATAAATACCATAATCTGGTATTACCAAGAGTGCAGGGTAATGCTGTATAATTGAAAATATTTAGGTGAAATATAACAATATCTTCACTGACTTTCTCGATAAGGACAATACTAAAAAGATTTTAGCGAAAAAAAATCAGCGTTATATGTATAATAATTACGCTTATGTTTCATATATATAACTAGATGCCTGTGTAATTACTTTTATATAATTTAATATAGTTTGCTCATTTTGCACGCATATCTTTGCGTGCTTTATATACCGCGTAAATTATTGAGGGTTTTCTTGATAAAAATTTTTGAGCTATATATTTGAGCAAATTATATACGCGGAGACATTAATTTATTTAATATTTTTTGCTTGACTTATTGTATTCATATGATGTAATTAATGTCTAATTCGCATTTGTTAAAAAAAGGAAGAATCTTGTATGCGATTTTAGATTATATGATACAGATTGTAAACTGAATTCATTTTTGTTATCCGTTTCGCAAATTGCACCGTACATATTTTCGATTAGTTATGTATTTGTAAAAATCAGATTAAATATTATTTTTTTATTTTTTTTTATTCTACGCCGATTGAGTAACTATGTGAAACCGTGGATATTGATCTGCAATCTTTACAAATCTGCTCGATATTACTTTTAAACATATTTTGATATATTTATGTTGTTGCGAAACGGAATATCTCGTTGCTTTGTGAAGAAATATGTACGACAGTAATCAAATGTAGATTAGAATTATGCACAAATTTAGTCCTGGAGCGGTCGCTTTGAAAAAGTGCAATTTTTCATAAAATTATATCTATGAAATTTTTTTAAATACATTTTTCACGCGTCAATACATATTTTATGTCGTTTGTTAAGCTTGAAATTAATTATGAAAAAGGCTGAGATCATACACGTGTCCGCTCTAAGATTAATGTGCGATATGCTTTTGTTACATGTTTGCGAATCGATTTATCGATTAATGATCAATTAATAGATAAGTAAATAATTATTATAATTATAATTACATAATTATATAAAATATATAATTATTAATTATAATTGATTAATGAGAGATTTAAGAGTTCGGGGGAACATACCTAACAGCGTTAAAATAAAAAAAAAAAGAGAAAACTCTATACGTGTGAATAGTTAAGTAAAATATATTCCATTGCGCGAAGTGTGGCCTGTTAGGTGACGGGTAGAAAAGAGAAACTCTGAAAAAAAGACATTTCCATTTTTTTTACATATATACTTTTAGATGCGATTAATGTAACGGAGATATGACTCGCTGCCTCTTATAAATATTACGTAATGCGATTAATCTTATTAACAACTTCTCAACGTATGATTTTTGTTTCTTTTTCACTTACAGAGAAGTGCTGTATGATGCTAATATTAATAATAATAATGATGATGAAACAGTGACAAAAAAATATAACAGACACTCGCACATGATATTTTAATAAGAAACATACTCTCGACCCGTTTTATTTCTATTTTTCATTTTTAGGCGACTGTCGCGCATCATGCAAATGTAAAGAAAAATGTATATACGATATTGGTACGTACATATAATTTTTTCCGTACGTTCTGATTGAAGTCATGGTGTGTCATGATCAGGACACGAATCCTGCTGTTGCTTGCGTCCTCATGCCTAAATTAAGCATAACTATTTAGATACACAGCGATCATGCGAGAACGGATGGGGTTTTCCTGAAACGGAAATATTCGTTCCTTCAGTGTTGACTGACGGTCGTATTGTATAATATATCAAGCAGATATATTTCGGAAGGATCCGGTGAAAGAAGTGACGCTTTTGATTGCACGCTGCGTTGATAAGGTTTACCAAGTATCTGGACTGACGATGTGCCGACTGACACCGCGCATACGACTTGTAGATGTGTAATTTACGAAGGTACACCCGTGTGCAGGTCTAAATGAGTTTCGTGCAGTTTTTTTTTATAAACGCTCGGGTCTACACTTTTAAGATACCTACGTTAATGCGCCCGTTGTATAATTGACCGTTTTAATCGAAATAAATATGTTTTTGCACTGAGAAGACCGAGGACGAGACACGAATATACGGATGTCGGTGTGGTATGTGCAAGAGATCACTGTCAAAAGAATGTGTAAAGTATCAGAATGGTGTTTCTTTACCATACAGCTCTGTGTCGTGTTCTATCATACCCTTCCTTCTCTGATTCAATCACTATCGTTAGATCGATATTTTTCGTAAGAGGTAATATATGGCAATATCAGCAAATACATTTTACTGTAATAATTATTGCACATTGTTACAGGTGCTAAACATTGGAACTTTCCTGTATTATATAATATAAAATAAGTATATCTAGCTACAGATACTCTACTTGAGACGCAAAAGTGTAACATAATACTGCTACAAAAAGTAACGGATCGCTCGCATAGTGCTTTCAGCTGCCGTTGTAGTTTCTATATCTGGCCATTCTTTGGATACACAGCTCTGGTATGAATATCGTACTCTATATCTGGCATACAAAGGCTACGGTCCACTTGAGGCTACAAATGCTTCGAGGCATTTTGTCATTAGTTAATTAGTAAATTTTTTTTTATTGGTCAATCAAACGTTTCGAAGCATCTGTAACACCAAGTGGACCGCACTTAAAATCTTTTTAAATTATAATAGACATACGTAAATGAACGTAGAAAATAATTAGATCGATTCAAATCTATAGAACATATAAAAAACATAACGTCAAAGAAACTAAGTACGTCATATTGTTGATATATGAAAAACGTGTGAAACTTGATATAATAATAAATGCAAGATATTTTTTGAGATATCATCTTACATGAGCATGAATTCCTATGGAGTGTAGCGAAAGAGATTTATAATAAATAAATTTAGAATTTTTTAAATTGCAACGCTTAGAATGCTTCTGACCTATATTTTCCCGAAATTTCGTCAATTTGGACGAATTTAAATTTTCGCGAATCCTTATAAGATTTAAAATTCTAGGAATTCTCGGAATCTCAGTGTCGTTCTTTTGCTCATCATCAAACTTTGCTAATTTTCAAGCTTAATTTTTCTTTTATCGACTTCTCGATCAGGAGAAAGTCTAAAGATAAAGACTCTAGGAATTCTTGGACTATTAGTGATTATATTTTTCTGATGCCTGTAATTTACTGATTTTTAAATATTTTCAGATCATTTTGTTTTACGGTGTTAGCATTTTTTTACAACAATATGGTGTATTTGGCATTTCCCTTTTTTTACACTTTTTACGAGATAGCTGCGATCCAATATTTCTTATGCTGTATGAATCGTTTAGACATTTAATATCTTAATATATATAGTTCAGTATCTACATATACGTGTATCATGGATTAACGTAGATAGAATTAGCAGCTTCAGCATATGATTCCTCGAACGGATCATCGAATTATTACTGAACTTACTTGATATCAAGCATACATATTTAATCAAAAGTCCGCTTATCCGCTCAACCTGGATCGTGGATTTTGTTACTGAATGCTAATCTAGTATTATTTTATGATATTTACAAAATGATATAATCGTCCTCTTAACGCTAAACTATTTTGAGTGAATTAATCTGAAATAAAAACGAGATAAAAGTCAATGATCTACCAGAATCTTCGGTCATGTTAAAATATGTTAATTATGAAGTAGTTTATGTAAATACGTATAACTTTTTAACTTATTAATTTATAAAGAATCACAATACCTTTTTAGAAATTTATAAAAAATAAATTCGAAGTAGAATTAATTTAGTATTCAACAAGTGTACGTTTCTTCTGCGAAATTAAATTTTTTATTTTGGATATTAGGAATATGTATTTAAAAAGTTTCAAAAAAAAATCTCAACAAATTTTTCTTATAAATAACAACAGTAATTATTTTTCCGAGACAACAAAAAATTAAAAAATTAAAATTTTTACAATTAGAACGCAAATTATATTTTTTGTTATATTTTATCAGTTTAAGATATATGTATATGAGTTTTTATATAGCCGTTTTCTCTTCTTTCTGCTATTTCTTCTCGTTATTTCATTATATAGCAAAATATTCATTATTTCTATAGAACGTGTAAAAATGATATCGACATTGCGTATCAAAGATAAATACAACACAAAAATTCAACCTTATATGACAGAGATTTCACTATGCGGTTTTAATTTTACCATGGAAATATTAGTTCTCTCGAGAGAATTTTAAATTTAATAGAAAGCTTTTTTTTTTATCAGATATTTGTATACTCTCAGTTCACATAACGCCTTTGAAATTTTCATCGATATGTAATATCGCATAGATCGCAATCCACGTTGGTATACGATGCACGTTACACTATCTGTAATCCCTATAGTAATGTACATAGTGATTCCGATGAGAGTGAAGTACAGAATATAGAGATGCAGTATCCACAGGGCGGCGATAGCGAGAATTCGTTTTATATGAACCTTGCTGAATCCGGCAAAATCATTTAACGAATACCCAGATACCAGCAACAATGATCATCATGTCTTATGGTACGTTTCCACTCAGCGCGTCACGCGTCGCGTCATGAAAGGTGTTAAACTTAATTCCTGCCGCTCGCTACTAGAGGGTGCTGGCTCTAACGCTGGCGAGTTTCGACGATGAAGTCATACGTCTTTTGTAGTTTAGACGTCACTGAAAGTGATTCAATCCTCACAGGTTAGATTTCTCGACGCCAAAGAGATTTTCCAATCGATTGAAAATAAATCGCGATAAGCTGTTTTTCCGATATGTGCTTCTTCACTACTTCGACCTCAAGAAAACCGCAACTGAAGCGCATCGCTTATTATCCGAAGTGTGTGGTGATGAAACTCCATCGGAAAGAACATGTAGAGTTTGGTTTGAACGCTTCCGAAACGGTGATTTTGATGTGAGAGACAAAGAACGTCCAGGACAATCGAAAAAATTTGAACATGTCGAGCTGCAAGAATTGCTTGATGAGAATCCAGCTCAAACGCTTTTAGAGTTGTCGAAACAGTTAAATGTTACTCCAAAAGCCGATTGAGTGACGA